AAAAATTAACACCTAATGTGTGGATAATTTTTATTCCCAGTAAATGAAAACACTAGTTGAATATAATCATCACTCTGTGGTCCCTTTTGATCGTTTTTTGTTTTTGTTTTTAAACATTGACTTGTCAAGTTCTAGAGACATCCTAATATACTATATAAGAGTAAGTAAATTTAGGGGCACCTGTCTGGCTCAGTTGGTGGAGTGTGTGACCTTTGATCTTGGAGTCATGTGTTTGAGCCCTGCATTGGGCTCCTCACTGGGTGCGGAACCTACTTAAAAAAATGAATGAATGAATGAATAAAAATACAGTCTTAAAAAAAGAAAAATCTTAAAAAATGATTAAAATTAAGTAATAAGTAAATAAGATGTCAGATGAGCGATCTTTGGATGATTTTGCAGAATTATCACCTACTCTGTGCTCAACATGTAGTTTACCTCCGATTGTTTTTGGGTATAGATGAAACAATGTGTGTGTAAGAGTAAATGCAAAAGAGGGGCGCCTGGGTGGCTCAGTCGTTAAGCGACTGCCTTCGGCACAGGTCATGATCCCAGGGTCCTGGGATCGAGCCCCACATCAGGCTCCCTGCTCGGCGGGAAGCCTGCTTCTCCCTCTCTCCCCCTGCTTGTGTTTCCTCTCTCGCTATCTCTCTGTCAAATAAATAAAATCTTAAAAAAAAAAAGCAAAAGAAACTGATATCAAAACCACCTTAGCAGCAATCACGATTCCAATGAATGGTAAACCAACTAAGTGAATCTTGCAAGCACTTGTACATGTTTGCTCAATGCTTGATCACAGGCTCTTGAGCAGATACTGAATTTTTTTTTTAGATTTTATTTATTTATTCATGAGAGACAGACAGGCAGAGGGAGAAGCAGGCACAAGGAGGAGGGAGGCCGATGCGGGACTCAATCCCAGAGTCCTGGGATCATGACCTGAGCCGAAGGCAGATGCTTAACCTTCTGAGCCACCAAGGCGCCCAATATTGATATTTTTTGAAAATGAAAAGTTGAAGCAAGAAGCAAGCACTATTGCCTTTGATGATGTGAATCCCCAGAATCTCTTTTGCATTATCTGGAGGCTTGTAGGCAACCTGCAGGGAGCATTGATGTATGCTTGCTTCTCCATCCTCCCCATTTAACCCTTGTACTGGGGTAGAACTCAGCCTGGTTGGCCTTGGGTCACCCAGATGACCTTGCATATGAGCAAAGTGGAGTTTCCACATCATCCCTGTTCAAGAGAAGGTGGGCTTGGGCTGGGCCTGGGCCAGCCACAGCTCCTCCATAATTCCCCTGTGGTTAGATAGAACAAGCCTAATCCACCCAACGGGCTACCTTCCTCCACCCCGGCCCCTCCCACACTGCCTCCTCCCGCCCCTCCCACCCCCAGGCTTCTTTTAGAGGGAGCTGCTTGACTTTGAAGGATATTGAAATGTATGTTTTGAGAGTATATCTTAGGATGAGTATATCTCTGTGTGTGTGTGTGCGCGTGTGTGGTGTGTGTGTGGTGTGCTGGTGTGTGTGTGGTATGTGTGTGTGTGCGGTGTGCTGGTGTGTGTGTGGTATGTGTGTGTGTGCGGTGTGTGTGGTGTGGGTGTGTGGTGTCTGTGGTGTGTGTGTGGTGCGTGTGTGTGGGGTGGGTGTGTGTGGTGTGTGGTGTGTGTGGTGTCTCTGTGTGTGTGGTGTGTGTGTGGTGTGTGTGGTGTGTGTGTGTGGTGTCTGTGTGTGTGGTGTGCTGGTGTGTGTGTGTGGTATGTGTGTGTGTGCCGTGTGTGTGGTGTGTGTGGTGTGTGTGTGGTGCGTGTGTGTGTGGTGTCTCCGTGTGTGTGGTGTGTGTGTGGTGTGTGTGGGTGATGATGAGGGGTTAATAGGTCGGAACCCAAATCCGATACTGGTCATCTGGTGGGGGAGTAGAGCCTCATTGCCAAGAGTGGCTCTGGAACCAGATTGTTTGGGTTTGAATCCTGGCTTTGCCACTTATTAACTGTGTGATCTTAATCCCTCAAGTGTTTTATATCGTCATTTTAAAATAGGAGTTATAAATAGTACCCACTTCAGAAGATAGTAGGCAGCATTCCTTGCCGGAGCATGGCTCTCAAGGGGAGCCTGCCGAGCTGGCTTCACAGCGTGGGTTATAAGACTGCCCTGAGCCCTGGGAATTGGGCCCCCCCCCAGTCAGTGACGCCGCCACTCCATGCTGGATACCCTTGCAAGGGGACTTGCGGGTTTCTGTCGAAGGACTATAATTTCGCAGAAGCCCAGGCTGGTTAATTTCAGGTGGCCTTGTTCTTCCATGTGTACCCTGCTGGTAGGAATATTTTAATTCCATCTGATCCCTGGAGTGCATAACCCAAGAAGCTGATGAGCTCTTCAGAGTATTGAGGTTGATGTGCACAGAAATGAAGAAAGATTTGTGTGAGACATTATTCTCATGTCTTGCTCAGCCTCTCTCTTCTTTGCTCACTCTCTCCCCTGACCTACTCACTTTTCCTTACCCCAACGACTGTCTGCTTCTTGCCTCCTCGGAAAATCATGCGGTGGCTTTAGTATGGATATATTCCTGATCTGCCTGTGAGATTCTGCTGTGCCCAACCCTTCCTTCAGAACAATAACATGAAGATGAAAGAGGTCGATCTGCTCTGATGCATGTATTCTCTCTGGCATGGGACTAGATTTACCTCATGCTTCCTAAAGGTAGGTCCAACCAATATATTGTGAAATGATTTTTAAATGTGGCTACTAGAAAAATTTAAATTACATATGTGGTTCACACCATGCATCTATCAGACAGTACAATAAAGCATTGCCCCTCAAAGTGTAGTTCACCAGCCAAACGTGTGAGAGTGGCCAGGGGATGTTACCGATCCTTGAGCCCTGTGACTGACGGAATCAGAATCTTTTCAGAAATCCACATTCACCCAAGCTTGCCGGGTGATTCTTCCCCACACTGAAACTTTCAAATATGTACTGTATAGAGGTTGGAGGGGTTAGGAGGAAGATCATAGAGAAGTAATCACATTTTAAAAGTAAAAAACCAGGTGAAACATTAATAAAATGTTTATTTAACCTAGTGTATCTAAAATATCATTTCAAAATATAATCAATATAAAATTATTGTAAATTCTTTATACTCTTTTTTTTTTTGTACTAAGTGTTCAAAACCTGGTGTGTATTTTGCACTTAGAGCTCATCTCAAATTCGAATTAGCCACATTTCAAGTACTCAAGCTACACGTAGTTAGTGGCTATCTGTTTTGTGCTGGTCTCAGCCTATGGTTAGTGCTGAGGTGAGTCCCCACAGACCTTTCCTGGTTCAGAGCCATTGTTGTGGCTGGACCAGCCCTTGTGGTTCTTCTTTTTTTAAAAAGATTTTATTTATTTATTTGACAGAGAAAGACATAGCGAGAGAGGGAACACAAGCAGGGAGAGCGGTAGAGGGAGAAGCAGACTTCCCACTGAGCAGGGAGGCGGCTGTGTGGCTCGATCCCAGGACCCTGGGATCATGACCTGAGCTGAAGGCAGACGCTTAACGACTGAGCCACCCAGGCACCCCTCAGTCCTTGTGGTTCTTACTATGATTACAAGATGTGCCCCAGCAACAACAACAAAGTTCAGGGAACTTTGAAAAAACAATGTTTATTATCGACAGGTTCTGGAAGGTACACGGCACACATGGGGGCCACACAGCAAGGTCAATATTGGCTTGACATTCATCTGTGAGCCAACTGAATTTCAATTCACAAGCGAGTTTTTATCCAGCAGATAATCTGGTATTTTAGAAGGAAATTGTCAGCATCTCCCACATTCTAGGAAGGTGGTCACATCAGCCCTGCTAGGATAGAGTGAGATCCAATTCTGTCTCCATCACATGGCTCTTGACCATTTGGCAAGACAGTATTTATGGTCTTGATGTCAAAGGGTTTGCTCCCCAAACTAAAGACCTGAGGTGTGAACGTCAGGAAGCAAAAGTTAACAGCGTTCTGGTTTATCACTGCAGGCTTTTTTTCTTTCTGCAACCCCCCCCCACACACACCTGAGCTGTTTTAAACAGCTCTGGAATGTTCTAAACATCCTCTCCCCTCTCTTGATATCCCTCCTTTATTCTTTTTTCACTACCCTCTTCTTCAAGCGAGAAGCAAAATTCAGTAGAAGCTGGTTGGAAGGGTTGGGGAGACCAAATGGAAGGGTAAAGAAGAGCAGACCTTGTCCTCCTACCCCTGTGCCTCAAGTCTGAAGTGGAACCAAGAGAAACAGTGGTGTGGCTTTACTCAGGGTCAGCAGGCCTGGCCTCTGGTGTGAATCCAGGCAAAGTGCTCCCCATCCTGGAGGGAAGGGTTAAGGACCAGCGGCAAGTCTGTCCTTTGGTCTGAGATGCTACGTGGCAGACAACCGGGTATCCCGCTACCTTCAGCATCAGACGTGGCATCCGGTGGCTGCAACTGGCCTCGTGAATGTCTTCAGCACATGCAGTGGGTCTTCTCCTTCGGACCCTGGGCCACAAGGACCGGCCTAGAATCCGGGGCCAGGCTGTTCAGCGTGCTCTCCCCAAATAAGTGCAGGCTGTTGCGGGTGATCAGCTCCCTGGCCATCAGCATGAAGACCTCGTCTATGTTCTTAGACTCCTTGGCAGATGTTTCTAAAACAGCAAGGAGGCCATGCTTCTCAGCCAGTGTGCAGGCATCCTCAAACAGGACATTCCGTTTTTCCCACAGGTCACATTTGTTCCCTGGGAGCGAGAAAGAAGCAAATATTCCATGGACAAACTGAATCTGGTTTTGTTTTTGTTTTTGTTTTTTTTAAATAAACCTTTAATAGAAACATTTTAGTTCAACAGTACTCAAGAAGCGTGATTCATTCCTAAACAGCCATTGTGGGCAGATTTACTGAAAATGAAACCACTGGTGGAAAAAGAGCCACTGTCTTAATTCACTGTCAAATGAGATCCTGAGGAGCTGTGAGAAATGGGCCGGAGGTGTGTGTTTTATTGGCAGGGACAGGTGGAGCCTCTACATTCTACGGAGGGACAGTCATTCCTTCCTTCTAAGTCCAACTAGGTAAAGACTATGCTGGAGGGGGTGTTTCGACCTTCTCTGTTATTCCTTCAAATCTTGTTTCTCTTTCTGCTCTCTTTTCCAAACCACAAAGGGTTGGATACCGTGGGATGGGGCCTGGGCTAGCTGAGGAGCTTGTGATGAGGATTTGCTGGATTGAAGGTATGAAATGAATAATGCAGGATTTAGCTACAACTTAAATATAATAGGCAGATTTTAAGTGTGCAGTTCATGAATTCTGACAAACATATATGCTCTGTAACCATCATTCCCCTCAGGATATAGAACATTCCCTATTACCCCAGAAAGTTCAGTGAAGGGTTTTGTGAGCATGGCCCCCAGGACTGGTTATAGAAGGAAGAGTGACCCATCACTTTTGCTTTTCCACTTCAACCCTACATGCATCCAGTCTTTGGACTTTGATTTCTCTGAGGCAGGAATCTAAAGGTAAAATTGTTTTCCTGCAGGATTTGTTCTACCAGACATCAGGATTTATTACAAAGCTACTGTAATTAAGACGGGCCAGACCAGTGTTTCTCAACTTGTTTTTTTCTCATAAAGGAGCCTTCTGAGACCCTTTCCCCCCATAATTAACCCTCCCCACCATGAAAACCTTTAAAACTTTTCATTTTGAAACAATGATAGACTCCCAGGTTGTTGAAGGAGGTCTTTCAGGGAGGTCTAGCGTACCGTTCATGCAGTTTCCCCACTGGTAACCTCTTGGGGAATGATAGTCTGATGTCAAAACCAGGAAATTACCTTTGGTACATCCCATAGAGCTTATTCAGATTTCCCCAGTGATACGGTGCACTCCTTTGCATGTGTGTGCATGCAAAGGAGTGCACCGTATCACTGAGGAAAGATTGATGGATTGACATATATTGAAATTTTAAAAAATATCTATTTAGGGGGTGTCTGGGTGGCTCAGCTGGTTAAGCAGCCAACTTTTTTTTTTTTTTTAAGATTTTATTTGACAGAGAGAAAGACAGCGAGAGAGGGAACACAAGCAGGGGGAGTGGGAGAGGGAGAATCAGGCTTCCTGCAGAGCAGGGAGCCCAATGTGGGGCTCGATCCCAGGACCTTGGGATCATGACCTAAGCCAAAGGCAGCCACTTAACCGACAGAGCCAGCCAGGCACCCCAGCGGCCAACTCTTGATTTCAACTCGGGTCATGGTCTCAGGGTGTGGGATTAGGCCCCATGTCAGGCTCTATGCTTGGCGTGGAGTCTGCTTGTCCCTCTGCTCCTCCCCCTCACTCATGCTCTCGCTCTCTCTCTCAAACAAATAAACATAATCTTTTTTAAAAAATGTCTATTCAGGGGCGCTTGGCTGGCTCAGGTGATAGAGCATGGGACTCTTGTTCTCAGGATCATAAATTTGAGCTGCACGTTGGGTGTAGAGATTACCTAAAAAATATATATATATATATATGTTGGGGTGCCTGGGTGGCTCAGTTGGTTAAGTGACTGCCTTCGGCTCAGGTCATGATCCTGGAGTCCCGGGATCGAGTCCCACATCGGGCTCCCTGCTCAGCGGGGAGTATGCTTCTCCCTCTGACCCTCTTCCCTCTCGTGCTCTCTATCTCTCATTCTCTCTCTCTCAAATAAATAAAATCTTTAAAATATATATATATGTGTATACATATATATATTTTAAGTAGGCTAAAGTAGGGCTTGCTAATGCAGACCGAGGCTGCAGGCTGCAGGACTCCATCCCCCAGGCAATGTTGGCTCAGGGCTGAAGGAACCTTTCTTACAACTGTGTTCAGTCTGAGACACCACCTACCTACTGGGCTGGGCTGAAAACTGACTCCCAAAGATACGGGGTTCTAATCCCTGGAAACTGAATGCCACCTTATTTGGAAGACAGGTCTTTGCAGATGTTATTAAGAATCTCGAGATGGGGAGAGGATCCTGGATTAGCTGGATGGGCCCCAATACAGCCACATGTACCCTGATGAGTGGGCTGGGGGGGGACATGTCACACACACAGGAGGAAGATGAAGAGGGACGTACACACTAGATGTTGCGGCCACAGCACAGAATGCTGGCAGCCACCAGAAATGGAAAGAGGCAAAGAACAGATGCTCCCCTGGAGCCCCGGGAGCTGTGTGGCCCTGCGAATGCCTTGATTTTGGCCCAGTGATACTGAGTTCAGATTTCTGGCCTCCAGAATTGAGAGAGAACACCTTCCCATGATTTTAAGCTGCTCGGTGTGTGGTAATTTGTCACAGCAGCCTCTGGAAACGAACTCAGGCACATCTCTTCAAGACAGCTGCATGCATATTTATAGCCCTGGAGGCCGAAGCTCAGGGCACTGCTCTACTTCTGGAAGGCAGGGGTGAGAGCCTCTAGGGGGGCGGCAGGGAGGGATGCTGTAGGAATGGGAGTTCCTGAACTGGGAGTCGGGTCTGCTCCTTGCATCCCTCACTTTGAGCTGTAGGTGCTGGGCTCAGTGGCACTGGTTCTGCCTTTTATGGCCTGCTCCGCCAACCTGCCCCATTGCTATGGCAGGTCAGCAGCACTGTCTGCCCAGTGCCCAGACCCTCCACACACCTCACGATGAGCCGGGACACCTGGTGGAAGGGAAAGAAACCGTGTGTTTGCCCCTCGCAGTTCAAATCCTTGCTTGCTAAGTAAGGGCTGTGTGTTGGGCACCCAGAGATGTTCCTGCCCCGAAGGAAGGAGTGCCTCATCTTGTTAAGGAGACAAGACAGACACACAGGCAATTCAACAACTGTATAGGAATTTTCTGATCCGAGACAGGCCACAAAATAATATAGGCCAAGGACCAGGTGAATGGTAACAGTTGTTAGTAGTACAGGTGTGTAATCCCTTGTCCACATTTCCCAAACCCCAAAACCTCGGAAACCCCTAAGTGTATTTGGCAATTCCTCTGACGGTAACATCTGCCCTAAACTGGCATTTGAGGTTTTTATTCAACCTGGTTTGTAGGCCTATGTCACACATTTCACTGCACTGCCTAAGAAGGCATTTGACCTTGGGGTGTTGGCCCAGACCCACTGAGGGTGTTACATAACATAGAAGGCATTCTTCTAAGATCTGACAGATTCTGAAGGCTGAACTCTTAGGCACGAAGGGTTTTTGCTGAGAGAACGTGGACTTGGAAATATAGCAGCAGTTGAAGTGGAAGGTTTGCCTGAAATCCTAAGGGGACAGAGAGCAGGCGCCGAGGGAAAGTCAGGAGAACATCCTATATAACCTATAAAGGAAGTTGGCTCCTGACCCCTCCCTCTGATGGGGGTACTAAGAGCTGGGAGGCCACAAACAGCAGCAGGGATGAGGAAAAGATAAGAGCCAACCTTCTTGAGGAGGAAAGCGGGGTGCTTGTAGGCTGTGCTCAGGAATTTGTATGCTATCTTGAGGGCAATGGGGGTCCACCAAGGATTTTAAACACAGGGACACTACCAAGGGTCTTCCGGTAAATGGCCGGAGAGAAGGAGCAGTACAAATCGGTGCACTATCAGCTCTCTGACACTTGTGTGAAAGTCTGCGTCCTAAACTGACACATCCTGATCATCTTCGGGGGCATTTCTAGAACCAATCGTAAAGTGAGGCAGAGATGGCTGTGAAGAATGACAGACTAGGGTATAGATACCACAACAGCCGTGAGATTCCTGGGAATCCGGCAACATTTTAGCATTCTTTAAAAGATTTTATTTATTTTATTTGCGATCGAGCGATCGAGAGGGAGAGAGCGAGAGAGAGAGAGAGAGAGAGAGAGAGAGAGAGAGAGAACACAAGCAGAGGGAGGGGCAGAGGGAGAGGGAGAAGCAGGCTCTCCACTGAGCAGGGAGCCCGATGTGGGGCTCCATCCCAGGACCCCAGGATCATGACCTGAACTGAAAGCAGATGCTTCACCGACTGAGCCCCCCAGGCGCCCCCAACTTAGCATTTGTTACCCCCTCCTCTGCCCCATCTGTGTCTGCTGCAGAGGAATCGGCAGTTAAGGAGAGTGCTGGGGGGAGAGCCAGCGAGGGAGGCCCAGGACGTTGGAGAAAGGGCTTTGTCTTCCAAATATAGCTCAGAAGGGAAGGGGTCCTGGGGGCATGCAGCTTTGCCTTGCAGGCTTCCAGGCCCCGAGGAACAACGAGGAACAACTACGTCATTGTTGGGAGCACAGGAATTTAATGGAAAAGAGATCCAGTCCACCTTCCTGGGAAAACTTCAAGTGTGATCAGAACGTCTTCATTCCCCTTAGTGAGATGCACATTTTCCACCCTTGCGATCCCTTCTCTGGGAGCTCCCCCTGGTGGGGTTTCCTTCTCCCCGTCGGCTCCGCTCTCCACCCAGGGGGGCCTCTGAGCCCCTCGATCTAGCACAGCAGAGCCTCATCTTTGCTCCACCAGGAAATAATGGCTTCCCCTTACTGAGGTCTTAGCACCACGCTAAGTGCTTCAGATATATCCATTCAACTCAACAGCACACCTGAAGCAGGTATCCGTTTCATAGATGAGGAAATAGAAATTTAGAGAGAGCAACGAGCCCAAGTTCAGAGGGGAAGGCAGAGAAGGAGCTCTGAACCCCAATCTGTCTGACTCCAAAGTCCAGTTAAATGCAGTGACTCAGAGGGCTCAGAATTGTACCTGGATCGGCTAAGCATTTAGTGTCGCCTGTCACCAGCATCTCCCTAGCACACCCCCTGGTCCTCACACCCCAAGGGCGGGGCCCTGCTATCCTGAAGGATGCAGGACGCCTCGTGAACATCCTCCTTCGTTGTTCCCAGAAGTGGTTGTTGGGGAAGAAATATGGCTCTTTTGGGGTCAGTGCTTATTCGTCGAACTCTGAACTCTGCTTGTAGAAGTGTCCTTTATACCAGAAGTCAAATTACAGAAGTTTCTGGTCCCAAAGGGGGCCTTTGGGTGGGAAGCTACAGCAGAGAGGCATCTTGCTCCTCCCAGAGAGACGAGGTGCCCTCCGTGGGGAAGCCTCACTAATCTCTCCCCCCTGCTTTCTGCCATGTGGGACAAGCTCCTCAGAGAAAACGAGAGAACAGAAGGTGAGGGGCATCTACCTTGGCAGCAGACTGTGGAATCTGGGGCTTTGGATCTGAGGTAGCAGGAAGGAGGGAGCGCACTCTAGGCTCTTGGAATGACTTTGTTTCTCAAGTTAGAGGAACGGCATGAGCGCCCTTCAAGTCTGTGCATATGACAGGAGCCGAACTATGAATCAAAACACCCTTTCTGGAATCATGGCAGTGATAACGAATGGGCTAGATGGGCTCAGAACACGTGCCAATGACCTCTTCTAGGGCCCGCCCATGGCCAGGCTTTGCATCCTGTGACTGCCTTCACCATCAGGGCCCAGCTCTTGGTCTCAGGTAGGCACCTTGCCCCACACCCGCCCGTCTTTGGGTTGGCCAGCAGCCTGGATCATGCTTTGCCATGAAAAGAAGGAACGGGGATTGCCTTGTGAGTAAGCAGATACTGAGAGAATGAGGTCTGTGGCGGGAGCAGGTCGGAGATGATGTTTTGAGGGATTCCATGAGTAAGGCGTGGGAAGCAGCTCTGAGAGAGAGGGAACAGGTGCACAATACAGCACAGGGGGGCTGGTTCCCAGAGCCCAGCCCTGAAAGGAGGATGCACAGGTCCTGCCTGTTGGTGGTGGCGGGGGTGGGGGGGGGTTGGAGGGGTAGGGGGTTTGGGGAGGGGGAGAAGCAGGCTGGCTCCACTGTGTCTCCTGCTCTGGCTGGGGCTTGATTGCTGGTTTTTCCTAGATCCTAGGAACTTGCTACCCTCCCCTCTAAGCCCTGAATTATTTGGAACATAGATGAGAGAGTTCCTCAAACAAACTTTCTAGAACACATCCTACGGTCTATTAAACACTTACTTGGTGCCAGGCACTGCTAAGCAATTTATATACAGTATCTCATTAAAGTTTTACCACATCCCATTAAGTATTAATCACATCTTACAGATCAGGAACTAAGGCTCAGAGGGTGACTGGCCACAGAGCTAGGACATGCTTGTCAGAGGATGAATCAGCCATTAAACACGGTGTGTTTAGCTCTTTCTCAGTCTCATAGCTAGCTGTCTAGACTTGTTCTGTGTAAACTTCCATTTGCCTATGAATCTCCTTAGGATCCTCTTAAAATGAAGATTCTGATTCAGGAAGTGTGGGATGTGGCCTAAGATCTTGCACTTTTCACAAACTCCAGCAGGTAACTGTTGGCCCACAGACCACACTTTGAGTAGCAAGGGCCTAAACCATCTTGCCAAAATGAAGCAGCCACTTGGTTAATAGTCGTGTTCATAGGAGGAAGAAAAAGGCAGCTCTGTTTGCAAAACTCATACTACAGAGAAGGGATGGAAATGTACACCTTCTGAATGTACAGTAGGACTGCTCACGTTAAGCCGGCCATTTCCTTTGTGCAGTTGAAGTTGCTGTTAATTTTGATGGTGGTTTGTCATTAAGATTTGCTTAGGATCCTAGCAGGTATAAAGGAGTCATTCAGGGGTGCGGTCCCAGGCCTGTGAGTGGCTCCCTTGGGGATTTGGAGCCGTCTGATATTGTGAACCTCAGCCTCCAGGGGATTTCCTGTGTGGTCTACACACATTTGCATCAAATCATTTGGGGTATGATGCCTTCATTGAGTAGCCTGGGCCCCATCCCAGGTCTCTGGGACTAGACACTCTAGGGTGGGGCCTTGGAATCCGTATTATTAACAAGTTCACACCCCACCACCCACATTCTCAAGTGAATCTGATGCGAGTTTGGGGACCAAACACTTTGTGAGGTCCTGTCCACCACCTGCACTTTTATGATTTCATGTTCCCTTGCCATCAGAAACACACAAAAAGCTGTGCATCTGCAGAGGGGCCCAGGAAAGAAAAGCCAAATGCTTTGAAAACACCATACCAATCAGCATAATGACCAAGTTCGCCGCTCCGTATTTTTCTATCTCGTGGATCCAGTGAGGAACAGACTCGAAGGTGGACCGTCGGGTGAGGTCGTAGGCAATGATGGCAGCGTGGGCACTGCGGTAGTAGCTCTGAGTGATGGTCCGGAACCGCTCCTGGCCCGCCGTGTCCCACACTTGCATCTGGAAGAGGGCAGGAAAGGGGGGTCCGCATCAGGAGTTCCTGCGCCTGATGGGAGCTTGCTCACCTACGTCGTCTGAAAAAGGCAGTTTCCTGGCTCTCACTTGGAGATACTCAGTAGGTCGGGAGAGGGGCCCAGGGATCCGTGTTTCCTTTTGCTCCTCAGGGTGATTTGGATGTGCTTTCAGGTTTGGGAGCCACCACCTAAGGGACACTTTAGTCGGAGAGGTGGACCCAGTGTCTTGGGTCTGGTGTTCTTGACCGTTTTACCTCCACCATCCCTTTGTCTAGATTTTGGGGTTAACATTTGGAACCTGCTCGTTGATCCCACTCAAGCTGATAACACTGGCTGAACCGTTCTGATTTTAAAGGACCACTCAGCTGTGTCTGTTTAGGAGTGTCCTTATGATAATACCTCCTCAGTGACCATCCCACACCGGGGCACCCGTTTGTCCACCCTTCCACCGTGTCTGAGGGTACCCGTTTGTTCACTCTCTCACACTATTTATAAAATATACTAATTAATTAATTATTTCATTAAGTAAACTCGGCACCCAACGTGGGGCTTGTACTCATGACCCTGAGATCAAGAGTCGCATGCTCTACCTACTGAGCCAGCCAGGCACCCCTATAAAATGTATTTTTTAAAGAAAGATGCAAACATACCCCAAACTAGAGAGAATAAAGCAAGGAACTCTCATATAGCCAATATCCAGACTCAGTAATTATCAAGATTTCACCACTCTTGCTTCATCTAGCCCCTTCTGTTGATTTCTTTGAGGTGTAATTTTATTTTATTTATTTTTTATTAAAGATTTTATTTACTTATTGACAGACACACCGAGAGAGGGAACACAAGCAGGGGGAGTGGGAGAGGGAGAAGCAGGCTTCCCGCTGAGCAGGGAGCCCGATGCGGGGCTCGATCCCAGGACCCTGAGATCATGACCTGGGCCGAAGGCAGACACTCTACCACTGAGCTACCCAGGCGCCCCTGAGGGGGTACTGACCTGGGTGAATCTCAGACGTCATGTCATTTCATTTGTGTCAAAAGTAGACATTTTCATACAGAAGCACAATGCCATAATCACTGCTAATCAGCTTTCCAGTAACTCCTTGGTATCATCTAATATGTTAAAATTTTCTTGATTGTCTCCAAAATGTCTTTTTACTGTTGTTTTTATTTAATAAAGATCCCAAGCTTTACATGCTTTACATTTTCACCAACACTTTCTGATCTTTTCTAACCAAATGGGTAAGAGTCTCTCACTATTATTCGAATTTGCACTTTTATTTTTATTTTTTAAATTTTATTATGTTATGTTAATCACCACACATTACATCACTAGTTTTTGATTCAAATTTGCACTTTTCAAATCATGAGTGAGGATGGACACCTTTATATCTTGACATGAATTTCTGAGCTAGTTCTTATCGAATTTATGAAATAGCAATTGTGTCCAATCTGTGGATTGCCTACTTTTTGTATTTGGTTGTTAGTCTTTTTCTTAGATATTTATTGGGGCTCATTTCACGTTAAAGAAATTAGCCTTTTGTCAGTTCCATATTTGCAAATATTTCTTTCCAGTTTGTCATTCATCTTTTGACTTTGTTTATGGTATTTTTGTGGATGTAGAAATTTGACCTTTATATCATTATATAGAGATATATAAACTCGGCCTTTAGGTAGTTATGATTGAGCAATCTTTTCCTTTATGGCTTCTGGGTTCTTGTCTTAAAAGGCTGATTTCCCCGGGGCGCCTGGGTGGCTCAGTCAGTTAAGCGTCTGATTTCGGCTTGGGTCATGATCTTGGGGTCCTGGGATCAGCTCTGCATTGGGCTCTGCGCTCAGCAGGGAGTCTGCTTGTCCCTCTCCCTCTCTCTCTGCTTCCTCATACCCCTCCCCCACGCTTGTGCTCTCTCTCTCTCTTTCAAATAAATACATAAAATCTTAAAAAAAAAAAAAAAGGCTGCTGGGCGCCTTGGTGGCTCAGTCAGTTAAGCATCTGCCTTTGGCTCAGGTCATGATCTCAGGGTCCTGGGATCGAGCCCTGCATCAGGCTCCCTGCTCGCGGGGAGTCGGCTTCTCCCTCTGCCCCTCCTCCCACTCATTCTCTCAATCTTTCTCTCAAATAAATAAAATCTTAAAAAAAAAGGCTGATTTCCCCATTCCACAATGATAAAGATAAATATGTCAATGATCTTTTTTTCTGGTATTCTTATGATTTCATGTTTTATATTTAAATCTTTTATTCCTCAGGCATGTGTTTTGGTGTTAAGAACTCTAGCTAAGGGGCGCCTGGGTGGCTCAGTCGTTAAGCATCTGCCTTCAGCTCAGGTCATGATCCCGGGGGCCTGGGATTGAGCCCCACATCGGGCTCCCTGCTCAGCGGGAAGCCTGCTTCTCCCTCTCTCACTCCCCCTGCTTGTGTTCCCTCTTTCGCTGTCTCTCTCGCTGTCAAATAAATAAAATCTTAAAAAAAAAAAATGAACTCTAGCTAAGGGGCCCCTGGGTGGCTCAGTCAGTTGGGCATCTGCCTTCGGCTCAGGTCATGATCCCAGGGTCCTGGGATGAAGCCCCACGTTGGCTCCTTGCTCAGTAGGGAATCTGCTTCTCCCTCTACCCCTCGCCCCTGCTCATGCTCTCTCTCAAATAAATAAATAAAATCTTAAAAAAAAAAAAAGAACTCTAGCTAAGGGAGGAGCCAACCCCGTGCCTTTCTGACCTTCACTTTCTTGCCATCGATCTCAAGGGAGCGCACAGTGAAGTCCACCCCAATCGTGTTCTGCTGTGTCTCTGTGTAGACCCCAGATTTGAAATGCTGTACCACACACGTCTTCCCCACATTGGAATCCCCAATGAGGATAATCTTGAACAAATAGTCAAAATTCTCATCTGCTGCCCTGGATGAGCTGGAGAATTGCATGGCTCCTTGCCACCTAGAATGGACCTAGGAAGAAAAGAAGGAATCCAGCATCTCTTTAGTGAACTAGACACTGTTCCATCAGGCGCCAGGCACTGTTCTAGGCACTCGGGATGTAGGACAGGAGAAAGGGAGGTTGTTCATTCATAGCACTCGCATTCTTGTGGGAGACGGATATTAATTCCTGGTCAGGTACAAGGGAGCTGTCCCCACATGCCCACACCTGGCCTCCGTGGGTTGGCATTACTTTAAAATGAAGAGGTTTGGGGCACCTGGGTGGCTCAGTTGGTTGAGCAACTGCCTGCGGCTCAGGTCATGATCCTAGAGTTCGGGGATCGAGTCCCACATCGGGCTCCCTGCTCTGCAGGGGAGTCTGCTTCTCCCTCTGACCCTCCCCCCTCTCATGTTCTCTCTCGCTCTCATTCTCTCTCTCAAATAAATAAAATCTTTAAAAAAATAAAAAATAAAATGAAGAGGTTTAACTGCCATTCTCTGTGGGGCCCAGCACACAAGCGACACTCTCAGATGACAACATCGACTGAAATCTTAGTCACCGAGGCAAGGAAGTACCCCATGCTCTGTCGAGCACCCAGAGCAGGAGGACGGCAGGGGAGATGCCTACGGGAGTGTCCCACCTGCCATTCATCAGCTGGAGGATATGCCTTGCTGTCATCCTAGCTTCACTTGTCACGGGGAGGAAAACTCCCAACTACAGAAGACAGACTGTCCAGGCAACCAGCAACAAGGACCGACAAGATGTGGCAGAGAAGTCAGTTTGGGGAAGAGGGACATGGCCTTTTTCTTCTGGTTTTCTTGACCAGGAAATTACGATTTCGAGAATATTCAAGATGAAAACTATGTGGAGCACCTGGCTGGCTCAGTCGGTAGAGCACATGACTCTTGGTCTCAGCGTGGTGAGTTCAAGCCCCATGTTGGGTGTAGAAATCACTTAAAAAATAAACTTAAAAAAAAAAAACCCCAAAATGAAAACTATGGTTTTCAAATGTTTATGGCATATTTTACTATGGGCTGGGAAATAACTTAAAGTTTCTAATGACGGTGTTTCCCAAACTGATTATGTCACAACTATCTGAAAGAGATACTTAGAAAGATAGATTGCTACAGCCCATTCGAGATCTGCCAAATATATTTAAAGACACACACACACACACACACACACACACACACACACACACACAGGCACACACTTCCCAGGTGATTCTGATGACCATCCAGGTTTGGGGAGCACTGATCAACAGAATCACTCACCTGAAACTTTATTCCCACCTCAGCATTTCTGCCTCAATATCTACCTGTACTTTGATATCTTTGATCACAGGGAACTTACTACCTTCTGCAAGAATCCACTTGGCATGTCCAACTCTAACTTACATGGGGTTGAACTCTATCTCCCTGTGGTTTCCATCTGTTGCCCCCGGGCTGTGCCAGGACTTGGCAGATTCTGATTCCACATGACAGCCCATCAGAAATCTGAGGCAGCAAACATATCCCCTCAAGGCAAATATCCCTGGGCCTTTCAACCGTTCTTCACATGATGTTGTGTTGGGTCTCCTCATCCAATGTTTCATAAAAATACATGAAAACTTATCCCATTCGGTGATTAAATTTGACATGCTTCACGTTGCTCCTGCCTTATGACACCCTCCTCCATTTCTTCCAGTTTTATTTTTTGGTTTTCTTTAAAGTCAGAAAAGGACAGGTCTGTATCACACAAATTAGAAAGCACACAGACTCATAATCTGTACATGAAAACCCTGAGCTTTAAACAGATGAAGAAGGCTCCCATCCCTCTCTTGGACGCCTCTGAAAATCACCTCTGGCAAATGATGCAGCAGACAAAAGACACAATGAAACCACTTTTTTCCTTCTGGCTTTTCAAATAAAGAAGGCCATTCCACTTCCGGTGTCATATCACTAACTTGAGCAGGGAGGGACCTTACTTCCACCTTCCCCCCTGCCCCAAGCAAGTCCTCCAGGTTTGTTTCCACAAAAGCCCTCTTTACCTTAGCCGGCGCCCCCTGCAAGGAGAAATGAGCAGTGCCCACCCGCTGGTGCCAGATGCCCTCCATCCCGCATCCTGTAGCCTTCACCTTCCTGGTTCACCTGTTGCTTACCTGGCTCGCTCTCTCACCTCTGCTGGCAGGTAATGTTTATTTTATTCTCCTAGTTTTCCTTCCTGGCCCTCCGCGCCTTTCTTTCTCCCGCCGGGCCGGGCCAGAGTGGTGGGAGCTGGTGCTCGGTCCCCAGGTGTCGGGCTTGGCGACCTGAGAAAGTGAAAGGAAAGCGCGAGCCCTCCCACCGCCCCGGCCTCAGCTGCCGTTGGGTACAAAGCACAGGGTGAGGCGCTGGCCAGTGCTCCCCATGCAGTCAGCTTGCCCTCCCGACATTCGGCACCTAGCAGAGCCAGACGACAAGGACTAGCCCTTAACTATTCAGCCACCCTGTTCCTTCCTTCTACTCACCTTCTCTTTAGCTGTCCTTGCCCCCTGGTTTTTCCTGGGGTCTCTCGTTTGGCTGGGGTGGGGGGCGGCTAGTTGAGTGGGGGGCAAGGTCAAGGAGAATACAGATCTAGGTCTTGAGTCATTTGGCTGTTTTGTGGACTTGAATAACTCTTTCTGAGGAGCCACGGAGAGAAAGGAGGCGACCCAAAGAGAAGATTAAAAAAAAAAACCAAAAACAAAACCAAAACAACTCTGAACTTGCATGGGAAGAAAGAGCTGAAAAACATTTGTTTTCTTTCCTCAAAAAATCTACCACAGAACGAAGGTTGATTTCTAGGTCTGAGAAAACCTAGAATTAATCAGTCTCCTACTAGCAGTAAAAGCATAATACTTAAGTTTTTCCCTCACAGAGTCTGGAAGAGTCACCGCTTGTCATATCTTCAGGATTAGATTTTCTCCAGAATGTAGAATGTAAGGTGTAGGCAGTATACCATGCGCAAAACGGAAACATCAGATTGATAAAATATTTAAAATATTAAAATATTTAAATATTTAAATTGGCATAGTGTTTTCAAACTGTGGGTTGAGACCTATTAGTGAGTCATGAAATCCATTTTTTTGTGGGTGGCAACGAGCACTTTTTTTTTTTTTTTAAAGAAGGCTCCATGCCCAACATGCGCCTTCAGTTCACGACCCCGAGACTGAGAGTCATTGTGCTCTGCCGACTGAGCCAGCCAGGTGGCCTGCGACCAGCATTTTTACAGAAGAAAGTAGGACAGAATTTCAGAATGTATGTCATGCAGTAAGGCTAAGTACTGCGTTGTACCCTGTTTGGGTCAGTTTTGTCCATGCATGGATGTACTCAGGTGATATAAAATGTATCTCTTACTGTGGGTTGAGGTCTAAAAAGATCAAGAAGCACTGAAATAGAGGAGGGTTTATTCACTTTCCAAGAGCATTTCTTTCTGTAATTCCTTCAGAAAACCTATAAGTTATAATTTATCTTACCCCATATTCCATTTACACATCACTTTTCAGGAACCTCTCTTGAGTCATAAACCCGGTGCTGGCAGGTAGAGCAAGAAAACAAAGGCACTGCCGAGTGCTGCTGGGGCACGTTGTCACTTGGGGAGTCACAGGCAGACGTCTGTGCACTGAAAATGACATATAGTTCAAGACCCAGCACCCTGTATGGGCGGGAGACAGGAAATAACACCTGTTAGATGTGCATGTCAGGGAGGCTACGTGTCAAAATGGTTTCTTCTTCTGGTAATGGTGACTGGGGAAGAAAAAAAAAAGTCAGCTGACTCAGCCCCGGTACTTGGAGAACATCTAGAAGTAGAAATCAAATAGTAAAAAGTCTAGGGCGCCTGGGAGGTTCAGTTGGTTAAGCGACTGCCTTCAGCTCAGGTCATGATCTCAGGGTCCTGGGATCGAGCCCTGTGGGCAGGTTCCCTGCTCAGCGGGGAGCCTGCTTCTCCCTCTGTCCTCCCCCCATGTTCTCTGTCTCTCTCTCCCTCGCAAATAAATAAATAAAATCTTAAAAAAAAATCAAATAGTAAAATGCCTAGATGGTTATGGAAGTTAAGGAGGGAGAGAGATTCTGCCTCCCCCATTCTGACTTTCTCCACCAGACCCTTTCTGCCAACATGACTATGAGCACAGAGAGTGTGGTGTGGGCTTCTTGACCTGGATGGTAGTGACAGGTTATATACTTATTTTATTTATTTATTTATTTAAAGATTTTATTTATTTATTTGAGAGAGAGTGAGCCTGAGAGAGAGAGCACAAACCAGGGGAGGGCAGAGGGAGAGGGAGGAGCAGACTCCCCACTGAGCAAGGAGACCCTGGGATCATGACCTGAGCTGAAGGCAGACACTTAACTGACTGAGCCACCCAGGCGCCCTATACTTATTTTATTCCTCTCCACACATGCATACATAGACATATGTACATGCACACACATATGTTTCACAATATGTACACTTTACCATTTTAGCTTTTTTTTTTTTTTTTGAGAGAGAGAGAGTGCGAGCCGGGGTGGGGAGGGGCAGAGGGAGAGGGAGAGAATCTTTTTTTTTTTTTTAAAGATTTTATTTATTTATTTGAGATAGAGAGAATGAGAGATAGAGAGCACAAGAGGGAAGAGGGTCAGAGGGAGAAACAGACTCCCTGCCGAGCAGGGAGCCCGATGCGGGACTCGATCCCGGGACTCCAGGATCATGACCTGAGCCGAAGGCAGTCGCTTAACCAACTGAGCCACCCAGGCGCCCAAGGGAGAGAATCTTAAGCAGACTCTGTGCTGAGTGTGGAACCCAACAAAAGGCTCGATCTCACGACCCTGAGATCATGACCTGAACTGAAATCAAGAGTTGGATGCTTAACCAACTGAGCCACCCAGGTGCCCCCATTTTAGCCATTTTTAAGGATTCTGTTCAATGGCATTAAATACATTCACATTGTTGTGCAACCATCACTACTATCCATCTCCAGAACTTTTGCATCATCCCCAACTGAAACTCTATCCATTAAACAATAACTCCCATTTCTACTAACCATGATCCTACTTTCACTCCCTATGGTTTTGATTACTCTAGGTACTTCATGTAAATGGAATCATACAATATTTGTCCTATTGTGACTGGCTTATTTCATTGAGCATAATGCTCTCCAGGTTCATCTATGTTGTAGTGTGTGTCAGAATATCATTCCTTTTAAAGGCTGAATAATATTCCATATATGCATGTGTAGGGATTTTATTAAGTAATCTCTACACCCAATATGGGGCTCGAACTCACCACCCCAAGATCAAGAGTTGCACACTTCACCAACCGAGCCAGCCAGGAACCCCTCCACATTATATTTTTTAAAAGAAAAGTGAACCATTTGGCTGATTTGGTGTTGCTCACCCTGACATCACATGGCAAATACAAATTGAAAATAAGAGGCTTAATTCTCCCTTAGAAATAAGGGAAGGGAAGGGAGGGGCGCCTGGGTGGCTCTGTGGTTAAGGGTCTGCCTTCGTCAGCTCAGGTCATGATCCCAGGGTCCTGGGATGGAACCCTGCATCAGGCTCCCTGCTCCGCAGGAAGCTTGCTTCTCCCTCTCCCTCTCCCACTCCCCCTGCTTGTGTTCCCTCTCTTGCTGTGTCTCTCTCCGTCAAATAAATAAATAAGTCTTAAAAAAAAAAGAGAGAGAGAGAAATAAGGGAAGGGAGAAACTAAGGAAGAACTCCCACCTCCACCCTGCCCTTTTCTTTCTTTTTCTTTCAAAATTTCTTTCTTTGTCCCTTTCAAATAGATGAATAGCTTCGTAATGGCTAAATAACCTCTTGCCAGTCTCCTATCAGGAACCTTTCCAGGACCCGGGAGCCAGCTTTTGAAATAAACATCCGGGGTGTGCTCCAGGCCCCTAGTTCCCAAGCCTAACAACTGTGGGCGCCTTGCTCCAACTAGCAACACTATCTCTTGTCCTAAAGATATGAGAAGTTTGTTTCTCCTTTGAATAAGCCAACATAGGCAGTCTCCCCAATTACCATGATAAAGTAAGGACCAAACAATATGTGACAAAATGTCCTGTCAAGTCTTCTCGTTCGAGGACTGGTGATTGTTTATCCTGAGAACATGCATGTAAGGGGTTGTGTCTGCTTGGCTGTATATGCGGGAGATTCCTTTCTGTCTTTTTGCAAGCTGTTAGTTCATTGTTCACAATGAGCATCACCTTCTGGTTTAATGTTTATCCAATAGTAAATCTGTTTTCTTTTTCTTTTTTAAGATTTTATTTATTTGACAGAGATACCGCGAGAGAGGGAACACAAGGGGAGCGGGAGAGGGAGAAGCAGGCTTCCCGCAGAGCAGGGAACCCGATGCGGGACTCGATCCCAGGACCCCGGGATCATGACCTGAGCCGAAGCAGACGCCCAACGACCGAGCCACCCAGGCGCCCAGTAAATGTTTTCTTTCTCTGCTCTCTTTGTGGAGAGGTTTTCTGGGTTGGGAGATTTCTTTTTAAAGTTGTATTTCCCCAACAGTTGAAAGAGAGCCCAGGAGGGCAGCAGATTCTACTTGCAAGTCCTGTGTCCTAAGGCCTTTAAATTTTTCGAGAGGCTGTCAGGATCTCAAGGTTCATTTATTTGACTGGGTCGGGGGGTGGAGTGCGGAACGGTGAACGATAGCGGCAGATTACTGGCCGCCTGCAGGTGCATTGAATTAATTTAAACAAAAATCTAAATCTTATGCCCTTATGGCTGGCTGCTCAGTAGCAAACTTAGCAGCGTGTTGCTTTTTGTAAAAAGAAAGAGCAGAATAAAGCTTTTCTGAAAAAAGAGGACTTAGATAGCATTTCTCCCCAGATTATATTTTACGTCTCTCGCACTGCCTTTTTCCAGTTTACATTCCTGGCCATCGTCCCCTCCCCCAGCCCAGCAGCCAGGTTCACCGAGGCCTCCATCCTCCCTCTCCCTCCGCCTCCCCCTGCCATCCTGGCGGCCTGCCGGTGCAGCCGCGGTTGGACTACAACTCCCAGCATGCCTCGGGCACGGGCGGGTCACGTGAGCGTCCGGAAACCCTGGCCGCCGAGCCGCGGGTGAGGTGGCGGCATCGGGCTAGGGGCTGCGGGCAGCGCAGCGGAGCGAGCGCGGCGGTGGGCCGCAGCACGGCCGCGACGGCGGGTCTCGGGTGCGCTAGCCGCGGCGCGTGGGGTCCGACCGCGAAAGGGCCGGAGCCCTGCTTGGGGTGAGGTGTGGGGCGCGAGGGCGGTCCGGGGGGCTTCCATGGGACGGGAGGGCGACGACGCGGAGATGCGGCGGGTGGCGGCCGGTGGGTGTGGCGCGGTGGGCTGGAAGGACCGGCAGGCGCTCCCCTCCGCCCCGGGTCCGGCTCCTCGGTGCCCAGTGTGCGGGGCCGCGCGGGGTCGGCGAGGACCGCAGCGGCAGGAGAGCGGGAGGGTCGCGGAGGGCCCTGGGGAAGAGTCGGGGCCGGGCCGGGCCGCGCCACGAGGGCTCTTGGCCAGGAGCGGGGCTGTCGTTCAGACCCGGTGAAGGGGCGCTTTTCAGGTGGGGTGGGAAGGAAGGCTTTTGGAAAAAAAGGTGATGCACTGAGGCCGGAGGGGCTAGAGGGGTCTTAATGGAATAACTGAGTTTTGTGTTCTGGCAGCTACTGTGGCCTCAGTCAAGGAATTTGGTCAAATTACTTATTCGTCATTCCCTCGGTATTCTTATTTGCAGAATGTGGTCTGTTTAGTCTCACTTTTGGCAGGGGATAATGGGAATGTGTCCGCAGGGTTTTTGGTGTTTCTTGAAATGTAAGATTGTAGGTGATCTCATAGTAACTTATTACTGAATGTTTATAGGGAGAAGAGTATGTTCCTGGGGTGAACGAAATCTGAATCTTAATTGCCACCTTTCTTCAGTGTCTTGGTGCTGAATTCTTTGCCATTTGTTGGATGTATACTGTGTGCCAGGCTCTATACTAGGAACTCTCTAAAATCTCGAAATTAATTCTTAAATGAGGGAATTGAGGCTCAGAGACTTTAAGTGGAGGTCTGTGGTTACAACTCTTAACTTTAATGCCTCTGTGGGCCACACATGGCGTCACCTAGCATCATTCTTCCGTTAACCTTTTTTTTTTTTTTTTTAAGATTTTATTGATTTATTTGAGAGAGAGCGTGCAAGAGCATGAGCAGGGGGAGGTGCAGATGGGGAGAAGCAGACACCCTGCTGTGCAGGGGGCCAGATGCAGGGCTCCATCCCAGGACCCTGGGATCATGACCTGAGCTGAAGGCAGATGCTTAACCAACTGAGCCACCCAGATTTTTTTTCTTTTAAAGTACAATCTGTCCCCCAGTGTGGGGCTTAAACCCAGACCCCAAGATCAAGGGTTGCATGCTCCACCTCCTGAACCGGCCAAGTGCCCCAAGAGGGAAAGATTTGTATCTTGAAACCTCCTTGTCTTTGGAATATGTTTAAAATAGGTAGGAAGAATGTGGTTTTAGGAACCCTGGAATAAGACAGGAAAATTTTACAGATAAGTGCTAAGTACTTTACATCTCTGGTAATGCATCAATTTAAGAAGAGAGAAAAATTACAGAAGACTTCGGTTTTGAGTAGAAGGGTTCAGGTAGTACAAGTAAATGGCATCAGATGAGATAAGGTAGTATGAAAAGGATATTTGCATAAGTGTCAAGCATTGAGGTGCTAAATTACAACATAGACAATACTGTCAAAATAGCTCAGCTCAACTATGCATTTAATACTCTTCCGGCTGCCTTTTTATATTTCAGTACACATGATCTTTTTCCTTTGCAAATGTAAAAACTGAAGTTTGACCCGTGAAGTCATTGCCCATTTAATGCCCTACTCCCTGAGTAATTGTAGTTACACTGTTACTAGTGGGTGTGGGTTTTTGTTTTGTTTTATTTTGTTTTCCATTCTGAATTTATACCTCTAAGCCTCCGGTGAGATATTTCTAATTACTATGTTTTACTCGACTTGGGATATTTTTAACCTTTTTTTCTTATACAGTATAGCATAGGGACTAGGGTCAGGTCTGGGTTTGAATGCTTGCTTCATCTGTTAGGAGATACTACTTTGTAAAATCGGTTTTCTCATCTCTAAGATGTGAGAACTAAATGCAGTAGTTCAGGGCAAGTACCTAGCACAGTGCCTGGCACTTTGAAAGTATACGGTGTTGGTTATGGTCAAAGAATTAATTCATTCACAAAATGTATTTATTTATTTATTTATTAAAGATTTTTCTTTATTTATTCATGAGAGGCAGAGGGAGAAGCGGGCTCCCAAGGAGCAGGGAGCCCGACGCGGGACTCGATCCCAGGACCCTGGGATCATGACCTGAGCCGAAGGCAGACGCATAACCATCTGAGCCACCCAGGTGCCCCACAAAATCTTTATCGATGGTGCTAAATGCTCTGCTAGGGGCTGGAGAAAATAGCCATGGACTTAAGACAGATGAGGCCACTGCTTTTGGGAGCTTACAGATGAACAATCCACATGTAAACAGTTAAACCAGAGTAATTTGATTGGGAGTAATGCTATGAAGGGAAGAAACAGACAGAGATGAGAGAGGTCACTGAGTAACTGCCCCAAGCATTGTAGATAGGGCCGTCAGGGCACACACTGAGGGAGATGACTTGAGGATGAGCCAAGAAAAGGAAAGAGCAAGCCACTTGCAAAGAACCAGGAGAGAAGCATTTCAGGCAGTGGAACAGCAAATGCAAGGCCAAAAGCAAGAAAGGGCTCAGGGACAAGAAAAGAATTAGGTGTGGGGTGGTTGCCGTGAGCGAGGAGGCGTGGTACTGGCGAGGGTGGGGAGGAAGGTGGGCAAAGAGGAGGAAGGAAACGGGGCTAGCTCCTCACTGTGTCATAGTATGGCTGGCTCCATCCTGGCAAAGGCTTGGGAACCACACACATGTCTGGTAGGAGATTGGAATGTGGTCACTCTCTAGGTGTGGATCAGGACAGATCTCTAACTTCTGATAAGTGAAGAAAAGAAAGTGGCGCCTGGGTGGCTCCGTTGGTTAAGCGTCTGCCTTCGGCTCGTGTCATAATCCCAGGGTCCTGGGATCCAGCCCTGTTTCGGGCTCCCTGCTCAGCAGAGAGTCTGCTTCTCCCTCTCCCGCTCCCCCTCCTTGTGTTTTCTCTCTCTGTCAAATAAATAAATAAAATCTTTGAAAGAAAAAAAAAGAAAAAGGTGCAGAATAGTGCATGTGATAGGCTCTTTTGTGGGTGTGTATGAGGGGCTCTACCTGGAGTGTGTGCGTGCACAGGCATAGATTCTGTGAGGATGTAGGAGCACAGGGTGATGAGATCACAGAGGGAGACATCACTGTGTGTACCCTTAGATGTCTTTTGATTTTTCTGCCTTATGCATGTATAACCTATTGAAAATCAATAAAACAATAAAAAAAAAACCCAACCTCTCAAAAAGCATTGCCTCAGGCAGTCCCCTTCTTCATTGCTAGCCTCCTTTTGCCAACCACAGCTGTCAACTCCACGGCTCTCCCCCACCTTAACCTTCCTATTTTACTATGGAGGACTGGGGTATTCAGGCTTTGAAGGCCATGGCAAAGAGTTTCATATTTTTATCTGAGTCTTGGGAAGCCATCAGTGTGTTTTGAGCAGAGGAACGAGACCTGATTTATGTTTTAAGATCTATTTCTTGGGGCGCCTGGGTGGCTCAGTCAAGCATCTGCCTTCAGCTCAGGTCATGGTCCCAGAGTCCTGCGATCGAGCCTCACGTCAGGCTCCCTGCTCAGCGGGGAGCGTGCTTCTCCCTCTCCCTCTGCTCCCCTCTGCTCTTGCTCTCTCTCACTCTCAAATAAATAAAATATTAAAAAAAAAATCTATTTCTGGCTGATGTGTGGAGAATGAGTTGGGGGCAGGGTAGATGTAGAAATAGTGAAAGCCTGCAGAAGGCTGTTGGGGTAGGCTTGGTGGAGATACGGGTGGTTAATCTTGGGGGTGGCAGTGGGGATGGAGAGCGGTGGGTAGATTTGGGATGTATTTTGGGAGGTAATTAGAAGTGGGATGGGTGTGAAAGCTGAGAGAGAACAGGAAAAGTGAAGGATAAGTCCTGGTTACCTTGGGCAACTTGGAGCATGGTGGTATCATTTATGAGGTGGGAAATATTGGGGGAGGAATAGGTTTGGAGGGAGGAAATGAAGAATCTTGTGTCAGATCCATGGAGGCATATCAAGTGGACGGTTGGCTGTACTGTTGGGAGCTCTGGAGGGTCCACGTTCGAGCCCTGGTTCTGGGGAGTCGTTGGCAGAAAGCTGTCGTCCTGGGTGAAGGAGAGAGAAGGATGCTGGAACTTTAAAGAGTGAAGTGTGAAATTGTTGTCTTAGAGGTTGAGGAAGCAAAATAATGAGGAAAGTGTAGACATGCTGGGCAGTGTTGCATGTTCTTTGAGGTTTGTGGTTTGAATCTAAAAAGTGAAATCTGCCTGCTTGTGTGATTTTCTCTGGCAAAACTCAACTCCTTGGGTGCAGGGAAGGACAGAGGCAAGCAAAAAAAAAAGGGGGGCCCCCAAGGGAGTTGGTTAGATTCTAAGTTAGTAAAGGAGGAAATAGGTAATGCTTAGTGGGAAAGTGGAGCGGTGACCAAATCGGGAGCCTTGCTGAGGCAAGAGTGGGAAGTGGGAGAGGCAAAGAATGTAGGGTGTCGGCAGCCTAGGTTGGGGAGGTCTTGTAGGTGCTGGCCTGGGTTTTGCCCCTGGAGTGGGTCTTCGGTGTGGGGCAGAGGAAAAGATGGGTGGTGACGAGGACAGGGGAGGGAGAGTTGAGCCCCCCCGGCTGTTGCGCTGGGACGGAAGCGGTGGCGGAAGGAAATGAGGCAAAGGGGCTGTCTGCAGCGAGAGCGGGGCGCTGGGAGGTCAGGAGGTGACAAGGCAGCGGGGCAGTAGACACTAGAGGCCCCCCCACCGACGCCAGCCTGAGTGCAGAGAAGCGGGGGTCTTGTGAGGAGGAAGAGTGACCTCAGAGGGGGCAGGTCATCTGGGGGAAGGCAGGAGTCTGAGGCAAAGAACTCTCCGAGGAGGGTGACCATGTGGAGAAGTTCATTCGCTGCATGTCTAGGTTTCCAGAGAGCAAGATAAAAAGGTTGTGGGGTGAAGATTGGGTCAGGTGACATGGGCGTGGGGGCGAGACGCTTTACGCGTGCCGTCTGCTTTCCTGCCAGCCTTCCACCCCGTCCACTTTCTAGTCGGTGTCCCCCACGGCGTTCCTAATACACAATAGCCTGAAACCTTACTGATGGGGGGTTGGAATGGTCTCTGAGTATCTATAGAAAGTGGCAGTTTTGGTATGCTTTATATTCCAAGGCATTGTTTTATAAAGGGGAGATTGCCTTCTATCTGGACATGTTACATGTGAAGCCATCTTTTATGTAACATTGATCGCGCAATGTGGAGAGCTCCATCCTGGAAAATACCTTGTATGGGTGATCTTCTAGGACTCAAAAAAGCTTCATTATGAATCAGATGAGTTAATGATTATCAGCTTGTTTTGAAAGGTAGCACATGGCTCAATGGTTCTGGATCCTTTTTGATGGTGAGAATCTTATTTTTATTTATTTTTTTATTATTTATGTTTTTTAAAAAATATTTTATTTATTTATTTGACAGAGAGATACATAGCGAGAGAGGGAACACAAGCAGGGGGAGTGGGAGAGGGAGAAGCAGGCCTCCCGCTGGGCAGGGAGCTCGATGCAGGGCTCCATCCCAGGACCCTGGGATCATGACCTGAGCTGAAGGCAGACGCTTAACGACTGACCACCCAGGCGCCCCAAGGATCTTATTTTTAATAAGTTTTGTTTTTAAAAGTGAATTCTTTTTCTCATATGATAGTTGTATATTCAGTATCCATTAATTGAGAAAATGCTAGATGGTAAGCTCTTATGAATTTAGAAATACTTAAATGAATTTTGGTTTTATTAATTTTAACAGCATTTACATACACTTGAAAAATGTTAGACATTTGTTCGGTCAGTATTTAGAGCAAGAAAGAAAATGGTCTTCAGAAAACAGGATGTGCTTGGTGGATTCAGGCTTGGCAGAAACTCTCGGCACTTCCCCAGGGTCGCAGAGCTCACAGATGATTAGAAATTACTTCTGTGATGTAGGGAATATAAGTGCAAGGTATTATTATTATTAATTACTGTAATTACTTAAGACCAAATGCTATAATAGTATTCATTTTAAATGGCATTCTGCCAACAGCAGGTGAACACTTAAAACCATTTTTCCGGTGTACTTATTAAGCCCTTTCTCTCCTGTCACTGTAGCTAAGGAAAAAGTGGTTTATTTAGAAATGAAATCCAGATGGTCTCAAACAGCTTGGTAGTCATGTAAAGTTATTAATGTAACTGCACAACCTTGAAATATACAACCATTATTGCCAAAGCAATGTAATCCCAATCTGGTAGAGCGTACATTTTTGGAATTATTATTTTACCTGATAAATTGTTGAACTTCATAAATCATATCCTTTCCTGAAGTACTCAGTACTCTGTTTCGAGGTGTGAATGTGTTCAATTCATATAGTTACAATTTACATAAAACTCTTGAGTTGTTCCACTGGGGTCTCATGTTTAATTTAGGGGGTGAAGGTAAATTTAGCAGTGACACTAATAGCTTTTTGGTTTGTAACTTTCTGGAATTACAAACAAAGTTTATTTGTTACATCTTGTAAGTGGAATTTTTCAAAATCCTACTTGTCTCATTATTTTGTGAACATTTTTCAGGCAGAAAGATGAAATGAAATTAGCTACATTCTACCGATGTGGGATTGATTAATCCTGGGCAGGTCAGTGGCTAAAATAATTATCTTAATACCTTACATACATTGTTTATTTTAGTCTCCTAACTCTCAGAAGAGATAGGCCATTTTATAGATGACCATCTGTGATTCATAAAGATTGGCTTGTCCAGGGGCACCTGGGTGGCTCAGATCGTTGAACGTCTGCCTTCAGCTCAGGTCATGATCTCAGGGTCCTGGGATTGGGCCCCGCTTTGGGTCCCCTGCTCAGCGGGGAGCCTGTTTCTCCCTCTCCCTCTGCTGCTCCCCCTGCTTGTGTTCGCTTTCTCTCTCTCTCTCTCTCTCTCAAATAAATAAAATATAAAAAAAAAACAAAAATGATTGGCTTGTCCAAGGGCTTACAGCCAGTAAGTGAAACAGCTGTAATGTTTATATAATTTTAATCACCTCAACTTTGTACCTTTTATACAAAAGTTTCAGGAATGGCCTCGTGGCTGGGTCTTTCGGCTGGTAAGGTTTGGCTACATCCACCAAGCCCTGGCTAGTGGAAACATGAATGTAACAGCAGTTACAAGGAGCACAGCCTTGAAAGCAAAGCCCTGTGACTTGCCAGTTTCAGTATTGGAAGTTCTCAAGTTTGTCTCCTACCTGGACTACTGTAGTATGTAGCATACAGATCATTTTGTTAATTTATTTTTTTCCTAATATGCAGGTAGATTATAGGACTTTTCCAATGCTGTGGATGTTTTCCATTCTGATTGTAGAAGTAATATATACCTTTATTGTAAAATTTTTAGGAAAGGATATAGAAAATTAAAGTTACCCATAATGCTTCTGCCTGAGAGAACTAGTACATTCCCTATTTATTTGTAAATGTTATGTAAACATAGAGTTGAGTTGATTATAAGTCATATCTTTTTTTTTTTTTTTTTTTGGTAAGTAATCTATGCCCAATGTGGGTGTTGAACTCATGACCCCGAGATCAAGAGTCCCATGCTCTCCTGACTGAGCCAGCCAGGTGCCCCATTTTTTACTGTTTTTACGTGACATTTTCTCATGTCATTAAAAAGCTTTAATTCATCATGTCAAATGATTATAAAATATTCAGCCGTATGGCTCTACCATAATTCATTTAATCATTACCCTTTTAATTGCACGTGTAGGTTGTTTCTGCAGACGAATAACTGGAGGCATTATGTTTAGATGCTTACTTTGTCAGAGCATGCTGCAGCTTTCAGAGAGGACCAAGGAGCAGTGAAGGGAAGTAGTGGAGACAGACGGAGGGGAGTGGCCCTGCCTCTTTCCCCATTTCCTTATGACTGACACAAAGTTCATTTTTTTAATATAAAAAAGCTCCTTTGACACGTTATGAAAACTACCTTTGTTTATAGACCTGAATGCATCTTGTATTTCTTTAGGAGTAGATCCCTGGAAATTGAATTTTTGTGTCAAAGGCTCTTGATGAACATGGTCGATTATCTTCCTCTAATACTGTGTTTCACCTCCCTCGGCAGAATATGAGAGTTCAGGAGTCATTAGACCTTGAACTACATTGGGCACATCTTTTTTAACTGTGCAAACGTTTTCTTGCCTTTCTTAGCATTTCTTGTGTTACTGTAAGATTGGAGCTTTTGATAAGCTTAATAGCCATTTCATTTTTTCTGAATTTCCTATTCATTTCCTTTCCTCATTTTTCTGTCAGAATTAGTGTTTTCTTTTCTTTTTTTAAAGATTTTATTTATTTATTTGACAGAGAGAGACATAGTGAGAGAGGGAACACAAGCAGGGGGAGTGGGGGAGGGAGAAGCAGGTTTCCCGCTGCTGAGCAGGGAGCCCGATGCGGGGCTCGATCCCAGGACCCCGGGATCATGACCCGAGCTGAAGGCAGACGCCCAACGACTGAGCCACCCAGGCGCCTCTTTCTTTCTTTTTTTTTTTAAGATTTTATTTTTAAGGGGCACCTGGGTGGCTCAGTCAGTTAAGCATCTGCCTTCAGCTCAGGTCATGATCCCAGGGTGCTGGGATCGAACCCCACATCGGGCTCCTTGCTCAACAGGGAGTCTGCTTCTCCCTTTCCCTCTGCCCCCCACCCCCGCTTATGCTCTCTCTCTCATTCACTCTCTCTCAAATAAATAAATAAAATCTTAAAAAGAAAAAGATTTTCTTTTTAAGTATTCTCTACACCCAGCATGGGGCTCAAACTCACAACCCCGAGATCAAGAGTCATATGTTCTGTCTGAACCAGCCAGGCACCCCTGAATTAGTGATTTTCTTATCAGTTTGTATAAGAGTCCTTTTTTTTTTAATTTATTTTTTTTGGTGTAGTGTTCCATGATTCATTGTGTATAACACCCAGTGCTCCACGCAGAACGTGCCCTCTTTAATACCCATCACCAGGCTAACCCATCCTCCCACCCCCTCCCCTCTAGAACCCTCAGTTTGTTTCTCAGAGTCCACAGTCTTTCACGGTTCAATGAGAGTTCTTTCTATTAGGATGTAATCTTTTGTCAAGAATTTTTCCTTTGGGGCGCCTGGGTGGCTCAGATGGTGAAGCGTCTGCCTTCGGCTCAGGTCACGATCCCAGCGTCCTGGGATCGAGCCCCACATCTGGCTCCTGACTCAGCGGGGAGCCTGCTTCTCCCTCTCCCTCTGCCTCTCCCCCTGCTCGTGCTGTCTCTCTCTCTCTCCCTCTCTCTGTGTGTGTCTCAATGAATAAATTTAAAAAAAAATCTTAAAAAAATTTTTTTTCTTTTTAGGGACTTGTTATAAACACAATTATCTGGTGTCAGTTTTCTGGTGTCAGCTAGCCCATATGATTTTTTTCAAGGTCTGATAATATACTATTAAAATTTTTTTTTTAAGATTTTATTTATTTATTTGACAGAAAGACACAGCGAGAGAGAGAGAGCACAAGCAGGGGGAATGGGAGAGGGAGAAGCAGGCTTCCCGCTGGGCAGGGAGCCCGATGCGGGGCTCGATCCCAGGACCCTGGGATCGTGACCTGAGCCGAAGGCAGACGCTTAATGACTGAGCCACCCAGGCGCCCCCTGATAATATACTATTATAAGTCTAAACAATACAGTTTTTGGATAGACTGCCTATTTTAAGTAATGTTGATAATGCATTTTCCCTTTCCAGAAAGAAGAAATGATGTAAATAATTCACTATCCAAACTTTAAGGTCAGAAGTGAGAAGGAAGGTCAGGAAGACTATGGCCTGGCCAAATATTTTTCGAAGAGGAACTCTGTTCTCCCGGTTCAGCCATCATCATGTTGTTGTGTTCCTGCTCACCTTCTTCAGGTATGTTCGTTGCTCAAACTGTGCCCTTGGGTTTTTTGGTTTTGTTTGCTTGAGGGAGCTGGTTACTGGCACAGCAAGTGTTTAGTGCAGTGATTGGCATGGACTTACGAAATAGGCTGGTTATTCTTTCTGCTGTGCTTTTTGGTACCTCTGAGTAGTTTTCAAGGACCATTTTGCCCATGTTTGGCAATGTCTGGAGGCATTTTTGGTTGTCACCAAAAGGGTGCCACTTGCAGTGGGTAGAGACCAGGGTTGCTGCTGTAGATCCTACAACGCATAGGCTAGCTTCCCACAGTAGAGAATTTGGGGGGCCCAAAATGTCACTAGTGCCATGGTTGAGAAACCCTGGTTTAATATACACTTAAAACCAGGAGCTTCAGAACAAAGAGTGCAAATATTCAGGGAATGCCCTGTGCATCCTTGAGCAGTAAAGATGGTACGAGACAATTGTGAGGAGCTCTAGAAACTCCTGTGAGATCCTGAGTGTTAGCATGACAGAAGGATCATCCATGTTTATGATTCTGTGGCCCTCAGTGGCTCTCTTGGGTGGTCCATAGATGCCATAAATCAGGCTGTTTGGTTTTAGGAGTCATGTTACTTATAACCCTGAGACTCAGCTATTTTGATTATTTCTTCTGGGCAGATTTTATTTGTTACTAATCTTTATTGAAGTCACCACAAATGATGTGATTTATTTGTTTGTTTTAAGGCAGAAACTAGGAAATGGTTCTCTGTGTAAGAGTTGACAGGTAATTTTGGATGCTTGCGTTAGGGATATCCATTTGTGAGGCGTGAGAGGAGACACCAATGAGAGGAAAAGACAGGACTCCAGAGAAAGCTACTTAATGGCTAATGCATCAAGGGGCCAACGGTTGTTAAAGACTTAAAATTCTTTACAGAACTGCCACCATGATTTAGAGTGGGTTGGGATCAGTCATGTATCTATCTTCTAGGTGGAGGGGTAAGTTATGAGTGAACACGGGCTCGTAATGAAGAAGAGTAATTAATTTTTTCTTTTGCTTGGCAGAGACTGTTCAATTGATAGTTCTCATAAAGCAGTACTTCTTTTTTTTTTTTTTAAGAGAAAAATTCTAAAATTAAAACAAATGGGACTATATCCGAGATTTTATTGAATGCCGTTTTCTTTGCTATTAATTCAGTCGTATTTCTTTTCTCTTTTGCAGTTATTCGTTGCTCCATGCATCAAGGAAAACTTTTAGCAATGTCAAAGTCAGTATCTCTAAGCAGTGGACCCCAAGTGCTTTCAACAAGTCAGTTAGACTGCCTGTAGAGGTAAGCAGAGCAAATGTTGGGATGGGTTTAGGAAGGGAGCCGTGCCCACCCCTAAATTCCTTTCAAATTCTTCTACTTTGTTTCGTTCATCTGCCTTGGACTCTGAAATGGCTGTTTCCTATGGCATAAAACCCAAACTATTCTGCCCAGTTTCTTAGCTTGCCCTGACTCAGGCCTTGTTTTATTTACCCTTGCATCCAGCTTCCTTCTCACTGTTTTGAAGTGACACATTTCTGTTGAGGTGGTTTTTTAATTGAATTTCACAAGTACCTGTATTCATTTCTGCCTTTGAGATTTTGCTCATATTCTTTTGTATGCTCTTTTGCTTTCTTCCCACCCATCTAAATCTTGATTTTTCCTTTGTGGCAAGATAAAATGCCACTTTTTCTTTTTTTTAAGTCATCTCTACACCCAACATGGGGCTCGAACTCACGACCCTGAGACCAAGAGGCTTATGCTCTACTGACTGAGCCAGCCAGGCGCCCCAAAATTGCCACTTTTTCTCTCAAGTTTCTTCCCACCTTCCACTGATTTTTTTCCCCTTCTGAAAGGTGTACACCATGTGTTACATAGTTTAATGTCTCAGTATTTACATACTTTCTAATTGTTTCATTTGTTTGTATCTTGCTTAAGAGTCCAGAAGTCAGGGGGCGCCTGGGTGGCTCCGTTGTTAAGCGTCTGCCTTCAGCTCAGGTCATGATCCCAGGGTCCTGGGATCGAGCCCCGCAGCGGGCTCCTTGCTTAGTGAGAGTTTGCTTCTTCCTCTCCCACTCCGCCTGCTTGTGTTCCTGCTCTCGCTATCTCTCTGTCAAATAAATAAATAAATAAAATCTTAAAAAAAAAAAAAAAGAGTCTAGAAGTCAGGCAACCTGAGTGGCTCAGTTGGTTAAGCGACTGCCTTCGACTCGGGTCATGATCCGGAGTTCTGGGATCGAGTCCTGCATCGGGCTCCCTGCTCAGCGGGGAGTCTGCTTCTCCCTCTGACCCTTCCCTCTCTCATGCTCTCTCTCTCTCATTCTCTCTTTCAAATAAATGAATAAAATCTTTAAAAAAAAAAAGTCTAGAAGTTAGGGAGTATGTCTCCACTTCCTTGAATTCATTACGGATCAGGTGAATCCCAGTTTGGAATGGAGATGCTATTCTTTACAATATCCTTAGTCAATACACAAGTCCACTCCCCTCATTCTTTACCACATTCCTTGAGTTCTACTTATGTGGGATTATACGTACATATTAATATTCTTGGCATGTCTTTTTTTTTTTTTTAAAGTTTTTTTTTTTTATTTTAGAGAGAGACAGAGAGGACAAGCTAGGGGAGGGGTGGGGCAGAGAGAGAGGGGAAGCCGACTCCCCGCTGAGTGGGAAGCCCAACCGGAGCTTGATCCCAGGACCCTGGGATCATGACCTGAGCCAAAGTCATATGCTTAACCAGCTGAGCCACCCAGGTGCCCCAGCATGTCTGAGTTCTTAAAATATTTTTCCCCTATTTGGATCAATTAAAAGTTGATAGAGATCTGAAGGTTATAGGACTATCCCCTCAATGTGATTAAGTTACTCAGTCAATTTCTTATTGAGGGTCTGTCTTGCATAAACACTGTTCTAGGCAGTGAGGATTACCCCCCCAAAAAAAACCTAGAGAAAGGATTAAAAGGGAAAAAAAAGAGCCTGTCCTCACAGAACTGATGTTCTGTTGAAGATGCTCTTGTACGATTTTTCTTCCCCACCCCCCTTTATTTAAAGTTTATTTTTGGGTGCCTAGGTGGCTCAGTTCATGATCCCGGGGTCCTGGGTTTGAGCCCTGCATTGGGCTCCCTGCTCAGCAGGAAGTCTGCTTCTCCCTTTGCCCCTCCCTCCTGCTCAAGCTTGCTCTGTGGTGTGCGCACGTGCTCTCCCTCGCAAAAATAAATAAAAAATCTTTTAAAAAAAAGTTTTTTGTTTTTTGTTTTTTTAGTAATCTCTACACCCAACATGGGGCTCGGACTAATGACTCCGAGATCGAGAGTTGCCTGCTCTTCCAATTGAGCCAGCCAGGCAACCCTCTTGTACAATTTTTCTTGAATTTAAGTTATTAGGAACTTTTTTTTAAATTTTTTTAAATTTTATTTATTTATTTATTTGAGAGAGAGAGAATGAGAGAGAAAGCACATGAGAGGGGGAAGGGCCAGAGGGAGAAGAAGACTCCCTGCTGAGCGGGGAGCCTGATGCGGGACTCGATTCTGAGACTCCAGGATCATGACCTGAGCCGAAAGCAGTTGCTTAACCAACTGAGCCACCCAGGCGCCCTAAGTTATTAGGAACTTTTAAAAGAAAAGATGTTAAGAATAGAGGGCTAGATTTTTTTTTTATTATTGTTATGTTAATCATCATACATTACCTCATTAGTTTTTGATGTAGTGTTCCATGATTCATTGTTTGCATATAACACCCAGTGCTCCATGCAGAACATGCCCTCTTTAATACCCATCACCAGGCTAACCCATCCCCCCACCCCCCTCCCCTCTGGAACCCTCAGTTTGTTTTTCAGAGTCCATCGTCTCTCATGGTTCGTCTCCCCCTCTGATTTCCCCCGCTTCATTCTTCCCCTCCTGCTATCTTCTTCTTCTTCTTCTTTTTTTTTTAACATAGAATGTTAAAACATAGAATGTATTATTTGCTTCAGGGGTACAGATCTGTGATTCAACAGTCTTGCACGCTTCACAGCGCTCACCATAGCACATACCCTCCCCAGTGTCTGTCACCCCCCACCACTCCAGCAACCCTCAGTTTGTTTCCTGAGATTAAGAATTCCTCATATCAGTTGATATCATATTGATGTCTTCATATCAATCCTCATTGACTTATTTCGCTCAGCATAATACTCTCCAGTTCCATCCATGTCGTTGCAAATGGCAAAATTTCATTCTTTTTGATGGCTGCATAATATTCCATTGTATATATCTACCACATCTTCTTTATCCATTCATCTGTCGATGAACATCTTGGCTCTTTCCACAGTTTGGCTATTGTGGACATTGCTGCTATAAACATTGGGGTGCACGTACCCCTTCGGATCCCTACATTTGTATCTTTGGGGTAAATACCCAGTAGTGCAATTGCTGGGTCATATGGTAGCTCTATTTTCAACTTTTTGAGGAACCTCCATACTGTTTTCCAGAGTGGCTGCACCAGCTTGCATTCCCACCAACAGTGTAGGAGGGTTCCCCTTTCTCTGCATCCTCACCAACATCTGTCGTTTCCTGACTTGTTAATTTTAGCCATTCTGACTGGCGTGAGGTGATATCTCATTGAGGTTTTGATTTCGATTTCTAGAGGACTAGATTTCACACTGAGTCTTGACTAGTGTTGTGTGCACAGTGAGTATGTCTAAATGATCAAGTGACTTGTCATAAACCTTCAGAACAGAGTGGCCTTAGAGGGGTTGTGTGCTCTGACCGCTCAGCCAGAATGGAATCTTCCTTTGTCATTATTGAAAGATGCTCACTCACCTTCTGCTTTAATACTTTGAGGAAGTTCTTTCTTGTATTGAGGGAAAACTATTCTGCTGTTTAATTTTGATCTTGGGTTTTCTTCTGAGCCACGCATAGTAGTCGATTTCCGCTACATGACAGCCTGCTGAATATTCAAAGAAAACCTCAATGGGCTGAGGTCTAGAGGAAGCCAGGTGCAAGTTTCCAAGAGTGTTTTTTCAGTGGAGTGCATGGGATGGATGTAATTCTTCTAGCAACAAGTTGTGACAACACTGGTGGAATCTTGTCTACCAGGGAAGGTTATTAGAGACTCAGTGCCCAGCGTTTTTATTGGGATTGGTCATGTAGGCACCCTGTGCCTGGCATGCACAACAATTCTAGACTCTCAGAAGGAAAGCAGGTTCAGCATAAACCACATTGTTTGTACAAACAGTTTAGGTACAGTGAACCACTCTTAGCAAGGATGGATGGGAACCCTCCCAAAATCCCAGTTCCCAGATGCCAGCCAAGGGGCTCACTTCACAAGTAGGCCCTTTTTTTTTTTTTTTTAAGATTTTATTTATTTATTTGACAGAGAGAGACACAGCGAGAGAGGGAACACAAGCAGGGGGAGTGGGAGAGGGAGAAGCAGGCTTCCCGCCGAGCAGGGAGCCCGATGCGGGGCTTGATCCCAGGACCCTGGGATCATGACCTGAGCCAAAGGCAGACGCTTAACAACTGAGCCACCCAGGCGCCCACAAGTAGGCCCTTTTGAGGAGAATAGTCTCAGGCCTGCCGTGTTTTTTGTTTGTTTTTTTTTTTTTTGAATTTTTAAAAATTTTATTATGTTATGTTAGTCACCATACATCACATCATTAGTTTTTGATGTGGTGATCCACGGTCCATTGTTTTCGTATAACACCCAGTGCTCCATGCAGTATGTGCCCTCCTTAATACCCATCACCAGGCTAACCAACTCCTCCTCCCCCCAAGTCTGCCGTGTTAACTCTTTCCTGCCAGTTACTATGTCACATTATTAGCTCTTATGGGACTTGCATTAACTTTTCTGCTTAGCTGTTTATTTACTCTAATTGCTGCTAAAATAGGTTTCACCATTCTGGTTTTTCAGAACTATGGATTAAGTAGTTTGGATGGATTGGTTATATAGAAGTCAAGTTCCGACTGATCCTGGAGATGTTTGTAATTCCGTCTCTGCTGTCATGGACAGCAGTGCTGACCTTCCGTTCCTTTCTTTAGACCTTAAGGTCTGGTTTTTTTCCTTCCTGAAGCCCACTGCTGGGAGTGGAGCTGCTGGGGCCATCTGTGCCTTTCACTCTTCCTGTGCTTCTGGGTCTGTAACTGTCAACCCTGGCTTTCCTTTGAGACCTCCTTTCTTGTCCAAAGTGGGAAGCGTTCTTAGAACTGGAAGTTTATGTGGAATTATTCTGAAAAATACTTTCTTAAGTGTCAGCATCGTCAAAAATTACTTATGATAGCTTTCATTTTTATGCATAGCTATCTTAGGTGCTTTACAAAAATAATTAAGCACATACAGTGTCTTTTCCTTGAGAATCTATAATGGATCCCGCTGATTTGCACAAACATTGAAAACAGCCAGTGAACATAACATAATATCTATGTTTAGAGATAATAAGGAGGTAATGGTTAAATTTGACAAGTCAGACAACTTGACGGGAAATTGTAAACAGAATTTTGTTCACTAAATTAAAAAGCCTTACCTCTCCAGACAGTACAGTCCTTTCATGAGAATAGTGTGGGGAGCCTCCACTGTCCAGGAGAGGGAAGCGGGATTCAGGGTGTCCTCAGCTTTCCATCTCAAGCTCATCCACAGCCACTCTTCCCCTGAAGAACCTCACGTCAACTGATACCACTCACTGTAGGCAGAGAACAGACCCCGGACGCAGGTCATCATGAGCTCATCCTCTGCTCACCACTGCTGGAAGCTCTTGTCAGTAGGTCCCCATACCATGCCTCGCCCTCACTTGAACATTCTCGCTTAGGAAACCCACACTGTCACTGTTGGTATAAGCACACAATTTCGTGTTTCCAGGAAGTGCCTCAGCATGCAGCTGTTCTCATAGATTCGTGCAAACCCTCCCCACCAGACACAGGAAACCCCCACATTCATACAGGCCGGTGGGTTCACGTGATAGTTGTACATACACGCAGGCCAGTTTAAACCACTGAAGCGTGTGGGGGTTTCAGCATGGTAAAGTCATTTTGTCAGTGACTTTCATGAAACATTGGATGATTCACTCTGTTTACACGGACCATTTCTCACTAACTAGTATGTGTCTTGATTTTGACTTCTGTGATTGAAGTAAACTTTCTTTTCTAGGCTTTTTCTGTTATCCTATTTTCTGTATCTTTGTGTTAGTCCTACTTGTTTTTTTTAGTTTTTGGTTTGGTTTTGTGTTCTATTTGTTAAGTAAGCCATCAAACGTATATTTCAGCTGAATTCTGGCAGTGAAGCAGAAGAAAGCTGTTTCAAGTCTGTCAGTTCTTGTGAAAGCCACACCTGCAGGGAGTTTTGGTGACCTCTTGAGAGAATAAAGAAAAACTCCAGAATCTTCGAGCAGTTGCTTGAGGCCGTGGTCTCTAGCTCACATTGGTGTATGCCCAACAGGGCCTAGTCCTGGGTCCTGATGAACATCAGGGTCAAAGTCTGAGGGAAAATGTGGCAAAATAAGTCTAACTGGAGAACTTTAGGGCCCCGCTTAGCACAGTGCTGGATCTTAGCTTTGTAGGCTCTTCTCTGTCATGGCAGCAGTGTGAGGTGGTGTTAAAGGAGCAAGACCGGTGCCATAAGCCACACAGAAGTGAGTCCCAATCCTTTAGAATCACACTTTATATATTTTGTAATTTTACTTTGTTTTAAAGATTTTTTTTTTTGCTGATTGTGATTTTTCTTCTTAATATTCTAAAGTCAGAATTTCTTTTCTGTGACAACCCATCTCAGAAATCATTTATTCCTGTAGTTCTCTAAATTTTTGCTCTGAGGATCCCAAAGAGCTTTTGGTTATGTGGGTTCATATTTTTATTTTTATTTTTTTATTTTATTTTATTTTTTTTTAAAGATTTATTTATTTGAGAGAGCGAGAATGAGAGAGAGAGAGAGAGAGTACATGAGAGGGAGGAGGGTCAGAGGGAGAAGCAGGCTCCCCGCTGAGCAGGGAGCCCGACGTGGGACTCGATCCCGGGACTCCAGGATCATGACCTGAGCTGAAGGCAGTCGCTTAACCAACTGAGCCACCCAGGCGCCCCTGGGTTCATATTTTTAGATACTTAGTGTTTTAGAAACTAAAACTAAAAATTGAAAAAAAAATATATTGGTTTTCAATAATAAAAAGGGGAGGCTTGCCTGGGTGGCTCAGTTGGTTAAGCATCTGACTCTTGATTTTGGCTCAGGTTGTGATCTCAGGGTCTTGGGGTCAAGCCCCACGTCAGGTTCCATACTCAGCACAGAGTCTACTTGAGATTCTCTCTCTCCATCTCCCTCTGCCTCTCCCCCGACCTCTAAAATAAATAATAAGTAAAATCTTTAAAAAATACATTGGTTTTTTAGTTATTTTTAAGTGAATTAAATAAACTCATAATGTGTTAACATAAATAACTTTTTATGAAAAATGATTTTTTGAAACAAAATCACTTAATGAGGAGAGTGGCATTGATTTACATTTTTGCAGATTTCATCATGTCTGGCTTAATAAAAGATAGTAGACTTTCACGTCTGCTTTTGAATTCAGTCTCTTGCAACATGATCCTTTGAACTATACGAAGAGATTTTGACCTTTGACAGATACATAGTGGGAAGGGGAGAAGTATTTTAATAGCCTTTTCAGTTAATTGTGGGCATTCATCTTTGATACTACACCAGAATTTGACAAGTGGCAGTTTCTTAGAGGTTAGTTGCCATGTGGAATCTGAAACTGTATGAATTAACTTTTTATACCCTTACATTAAGATCCATTTGTCTGTCTTTACCTTGAATGGATTCTGAAGTGACAGGCTTTATCGTTCTTTTTTGAGGAAATATCTGCCAAATACCCAAATCTGAGTAACTATAGCTTGTCTGTCAGTCATTCTTTCAAGTAAAAAAACAGTCTCCTCGCTTGCACCTCACACAGCTGCCAAGTGCTTTCCCTCAGCACAGCCCCAGTACTTTGCTGTGCCCAGTGCTGCTACACACTCTCCACTCCGGCATACAGGGTGTTAAAAATAAGTGTACTCAGGGGCCAGATTTAATAAAATTAAGATTTCTTACTGCTCAACAACAAAAAATTTTTTTTAAGATTTTTATTTATTTGAGAGAGAGAGCATGTGTGAGGGGGTGGAATAGAGGGAGAGCGACAAGCAGACTCTGCGCTGAGCACGGAGCCCATGGGGCTCGATCTCACGACCCTGAGATCATGACCTGAGCTGACATCAAGAGTCCAGCGCTCAACCGACCGAGCCACCCAGGGGCCCCACTACTCCACAAGTATTTATCGAGCATTTAGCATGTACCAAGGATGTTCTTTTTTTTTTTTTTTTTAAAGATTTTATTTATTTATGTGAGAGAGAGAGAATGAGAGATAGAGAGCACGAGAGGGAAGAGGGTCGGAGGGAGAAGCAGACTCCCCGCCGAGCAGGGAGCCCGATGCGGGACTCGATCCCGGGACTCCAGGATCATGACCTGAGCCGAAGGCAGACGCCCAACCAACTGAGCCACCCAGGCGCCCCACCAAGGATGTTCTTAAGTGAAGTTGGCTTTTTTTTTTTTTAAACTGTGACCGTGGCAGTAAATATAGCGATTATTATTATTTTTTTGATATAGTGGTTAATGGTATGGTTTAGTATAACTGCCTTGTCTCCTGCTGACCCACAGGAGTTTTACCCCCCACTGCGTTTGCACCATCAAGGGAAAAGTTAAAGGACAAAAGCAGATAACATTTCAGTGTTGCTCAAATAGCTTTGACCTTGCAGACCTTTCAGCAGGTTTCCTCTATTAAACCTCCCCAGGATTCTGTGAGGGTGGGCAGAGGCTGTAGATGAAGGTGCTTTGAGAAAGAGGAAGGACTGACAGGTACCAGTGGGGACTGACGTGGTTCTTGTTGTGTTGCTCTAGATTTGGAGCAGCAACCATTTGTTTCCCAGCGCAGAGGAAGCCACTCTTTTCCTCGGGACACTGGATACTATTTTCCTCTTCTCTTATGCTGTGGTAAGTTTTAGAATTTGGGGGTTTTAGGTTGAGGAAAGATGTAAATGGAAATGACGCCCAACCTTATTAAGTTTGTAAGGAATTCTAGAATTTGCTGACTGAGGAGAGTTCAGCATTGCTGAAGTTTATATTCTGTGTCCCATCCAACCATCCATCCATCCACCCACCCACCCACCCACCCGTCCATTCATTTATTCATCCATTTGACAAATAATTTACTGAGCACCTAGCACGTGCCAGGTCTGTGGGAGTTCATCAGTGAGCAACACAGGAATAATCCCTAGCTTTGTAAAACTTACATTCTTGAAGTGGGATCTAAGGAAAACAAACAGTAATACAGTGCTATACATAAGCAAATAGAGAGTATGGTTGAAGGGGGTAGGTGCTGTGGAGAAAAAAGCAGGAAAAGGGGAATAAATAGCCGTGGGTGGGAGTTGTAATTTAAGTAGGATGGCTGGGGAAGACCTCAGGTTGGGGGGGGTATTTGAGCAAAGACCTGACGTGGGTAAGTGAGGTCAGGTTGACTGGAACAGAGTGACAGGAAGTGAGGCCAGAGAAGGTATGGGGCTCAGACTTTTAGGGCTTTGGCTTTAATCTTGAGTGAGATGGGAGCCCTGGAAGGTTTTGCACAGAGGAGTACCAGGATCTGCCCTGTGTTTGGACAGGCGCACTTGCTGCCCTGGGAGACTAGACCAAAGGGCAGAGACAGAAATAAGGAGACAGCTTAGGCTATTCCAATTTTGAGGTGAAGGATGATGGTGGCTTAGATCCAGGGTGGGAGTAACAGAGGTTGGAAGAGTTGGTTTTAACTGTGTTTTGAAGGTAGAACCAATAATTCTTTTTTTTGTTGAATGTGAAATATAAGAGAAAGAGAGGTGTTGAGAAGGACTCTAGGGAGGAAATATCACGACAGAGTGGAAGACGATGGGGAGGGTAGGCTGTTGGGGAAATGTCTTTTGGACATGTTATGTGGGAGATACCTATTGTTGCCCAAAGGATGAAGAATAGACACTAGATTATGTGAATCTGGAGTTCAAGGTAGAGGTTCAGGCTGGTGGTACAAATTTGAGAGTCCTTGGCATCTAGATAATTTTCAGTTACAAGTTTGGATGAAATCATCAAGGGAACGGGTGAGGATAGAGAAGAGGAATAGGGCTTTCTGTACTTAGAGGCAGGGGACATGAGGAATGGGTGAGCAGGGCTGAGGTGGAGCAGTCAAGGAGGAGAACTGTGGGATGGTGGTGTCCCGGCAGCCATACCAGCAGGGCAGGGGCTAGTTCCCTGTCTTGAGGTCGTGGTCTTGGTTGGGGCAGCTGGGATCTCTCTGTGGTTGTAGGGAGCAAGTCTGGTGGTTGCTGAATTAAGGCTGTGGGAAGTGGTGGTAGCCACTGGACCCACGCACCATGCGTGGTCCTCCTTTCTTCCCAGTGTCTGATTTCCTCTTTTGAAAATGTGTACAGTTATACAAAAGCCTTTTTTTTTTTAAAGGTTTACTTCTCTGAGTGAGAGCATGTGTGCACATGCAAGCAGGGGGAGGGGCAGAGAGGGAGAGAGAGAGAGAGAGAGAATCCCAAGCAGACTCCCTGTCAAGCTACATGGGGCTCAATCCCACAACCCCAAAACCATGACCTGAGCCGAAATCAAGAATCAGACACTTACAGACTGAGTCACCCAGGTGCCCCATAAAAAGCCTTTTAATTACGAATGTCCAAGTGATGTGAAATACCCGGTGAAAGTCCTAAAGTACTCTCTGAATATTTATTTGGGCAGTTATTGGAATGTCTTCTTCAAAGAGGAAACTTGTAGAAACAATTGGAGCAGGCCTTAGATCATGTAGCCATGCTCCCTACCCTGGGCGTTTTCTGTATGAAATGCCAGTATAGGGTCATCCGGCTTTGGCTGGAGCACTCCCAGGGGTGCTTCTCTTTGAGCCTTTTATGGAGTATTTTAAGAAGCGGTGTAGTCTAGTGCAAAGACCAGCTCTACCACTGTCAACTAGCTGTGTGAAACTTTTTTGAAATGGAATTTAACCTTCTTTTGATCTTTAGTTTCCTCTTCTATAGAGTTGTGATAATACCTATCCCTAGGATTAAATAGGTTTAGGAGATAAAAGGTACCATGAAACGTCAGTGATCATACTTCTTTATATCAAGCTGCATGTCCTTCTGTAGCTTCCAGGCGTCATGCAGGCATTTGGAACAACACAGAATGAATTGAATCCCTAATCTGAAACACTGAGAGATTTTCTTCACCCCCTTTACTATATTTAGCATAAGACATGTGAGTGGCAGCTATAGAGCACAGAATCGAAAGCTTACAGGTGCCTCTTTTGAGGTTGTGACAGGTTGACCATAATGAGACACATCATGTAAATTTTCTCTCATGTAGATGTCAGTTGATCAGAAACACTTGTATCTGGATTTAGGTTTTCAGTCAGGGTGTTTATTCATTTTACATATTTATGGAAGAAACTTAAGTGTATTGCCCTGGGCTTTTTAGTTTGCCTTGCTACCATGACCCAGGTTTTTATTTCCGGCCACTCAGTGGGAGGAGAGCAGAAGGCAGAACATTTGTACTTATCCTCAACTAATTACTGTCTTGGCGTCCCGACTCTCCCCGCCTCGTGAGGTCATGAAACCCAAAGGTCAGATTAAACAGGCAGTGCCTGTGCCCCAGAAGCTTCTGTGGTGCAGGACATGTTGTAACATATCTTGATTCAGAATGCAGATGGCTAAGAGCAGCCTCTGGGAATGCAGATAACTGATCTTTAAGAGTTGATCTGTTCTAGAAAATGAAATATATTTGTGTGCTTGTTTTATTAGTATTCCTAGTTTTGTTCCATTTTGTTTTTATTTTTATTTTTCCAGTCTCCTTTTAGGCAGTGAGGGGGATCTGCTTTTGGTAGAATCAAAGTTCACACTGGATTACAATATTTTGGTGCGTGAGTTGGTTTATAGTATAATGTGCAGAAGTGCACTGTCATTTCATGAAACGTTTGTGAAACTGATGGAGACAGCTAGTCTGGGCATAAGAATGAAGCCTAATTTTGAGTCATGTTAGTGTTTTATTTCCCTACTTGCTTGGCAAAACATCTTCCTTTTGTCAGGCTGTGCTGTTATTAAGAGCTGTAAAATAAAATGCTTTATTTTTAGGGCCTTTTCATCAGTGGAATTGTTGGAGATCGGCTTAATTTACGATGGGTTCTGTCTTTTGGCATGTGCTCTTCTGCGCTAGTGGTAAGTTGAAAAGGTATCATCATCATCATCATCATCATCAATATCATCATCTTGGTTGGGTATTTTAGAATCCAAGTACCCCCCCTATTTCTATATGTAGAATAGAAAAGTAAAATTAATCTTCAGGTTTTTTTATTTTTATTTATTTTTAAAGATTTTATTTATTTATTTGACAGAGACATAGCGAGAGAGGGAACACAAGCAGGGGGAGTGGGAGAGGGAGAAGCAGGCTTCCCGCGGAGCAGGGAGCCCGATGCGGGGCTCAATCCAAGGATCCTGGGATCATGACCCGAGCTGAAGGCAGATGCTTAACAACTGAGCCACCCAGGTGCCCCCAGGGGAGTCTTTTTAAAGTGAGATTTGGATCAGGCCCCTTCCATGGCTCGGCACCAGAGCCACACATAAATAGTATACGTGCTGCCAAAATGAGCACAAGAGCCAAGCATAAATAGCATGGCATTTGGTGCTCTTGAGAACCGGGTCATGGCCCGTCTTGACAGTCATGTCTGTCACTGCACTTCACCACTTGGCTCTGGCCAAACTATTTTCTATGGTCCTTACGTATCCTGTGCCTTTCTGCCTCACTACGTTTGCACTTGCTCTTCTTCCTGCCTTGAATGGCTCTTTTCAGCTCTCCATAGTCTCACTCAATGTCACCAGCAAGTTATTGGCCAAATGGCACTTCCTTCACAATGTCTTCCTTTACTGACCTCATTCATTCTTAAAAGTAATCGGTTCCTCTTCTGTGCTCCCCCTCCTGTGTTTCTTTGAAGGCACTGAGGTTGTCGACGAGGTAGTCCACTGATTTCTGTATCATTCTTGCTTTCCCCAGGAGTCTGTGGCACGGTGGTTGAGGTCACAGATTTCCCAAGACCTGGACTCCCTGGGTGTCTGTCCCTCATCTGCCCTCTCCCAGGTGTGATTGCTGTGTGCTTCAGCCTTCTCGTTTGAGTACCTCCTGCCAGGCTCGTAGGGACGGTTATATGGGTTTCTGTGTGTGAGGCTTGTGAACAACGCCTGGCTAATGAAGTGCCAGAGAGGCCAAGATCCACGTTTGATGCATCTTTTTTTTGTTTCCTAGCTCCTAGTGAGGAATTTTTGTTGGTTGAATGAAAGCATGGAGTTAGATTAGACCCAATTTTATTATTGCTTTCCAGTATCTGCTGTTTGAGAGATTGACACACTTCACTTATTCATGGCCTGCTGACCCACATGTATATACATATTGTTTTAAAACCTGTGTACATTTTGTTTTGCTTTTTCACATTTTTTGAAAAATTGAAGTATGTGCATAAACTCACCCTTCTTGGTGTGTAGTTCTGAGTTTTGACAAACGAGCATAGTTGTGTCACCACCACTCTCTCCCCGACCTCTCCCCCAGCCTCTGGCAACCACTGACCATTTTTCTGTCCTTACAGTTGTGCTTTTTCCAGAATGGAATCCTACAGTATTGTACATACTAGTTTTTAGCCCATGCATAATATTCCAAAAGAAACTTTGACTACTGATAAAACATCCACTTTAGCAAAATGCCAAAAGAAAGGCAGTGACTTGGAGAATGCTCCTGAATTACTGTGCAGATCACAGGTTACACTGGTTCTCTTAACGGTTGCAGTAAGGACCGTAGCTGGCGCGTCCTGGTCCCCACAGTGTGCATGGCACTGCCCTGACCACACATATGTGACCTCAGTCAGTCCCTATAATAGTCCTCCACACACATGCACCTGGGGACGAGAAAACAGAAAGCGTTGTCTAATGAAGTTGAACAACGAGGATTGAACTTCTTAGAGCTTCAGACACAAGTCAGACAAGGGTAATCATTAACGAGCATCGTGTTTGACGTCTCTGGTCAGTGGTGGTGGTTTGGTGGGTGTCTCACTCACTCGGTGCTGCTCTGAACAGGAGCATCTGAAGAGTCGGCACAGGTCTCTTAGGACCTAGACCTTTGAATGTGTCTCTTCACGCACAAACGTAAGCGTGGTAGGCAGTTGGGAGTCCCTAAAGGTGTCTGTGTGGATGTCACATGTTCCCTTTTCTTCCCTTCGTCTCTCAGGTGTTCGTCTTTGGCACAGTCACAGAATGGCTGCATTTCTACAACAAGGGGTTCTACTGCTGTCTGTGGATTGTAAATGGCCTGCTGCAGTCCACTGGTTGGCCCTGCGTGGTTGCTGTTATGGGCAACTGGTTTGGGAAAGCTGGGTATGCCTCTCCCTTCCTCTTTAATTTCTCTTTTTAAGTGGTTTTAATTTGAGATTACTCAGACTTGTCATCAATTCAGTCGATCTTTTCGACACTGCCCGCATCTTTTCTCTGTTTTAGAAAGTTAGACTAGTTGAGAGAGAGAAGCTTTCATGTTGGAGTGCATTACAGGAAATGGTGTGGACTTGGGGGATGGCGTAGCCCAGTGAGTCACGTTCTTTTTCTTTATTTTTTGAGAGAGAGAGAGAAGGCGCAAATGCACGCGAGCAGGCGGAGGGGCAGAGGGAAAGAGAGAATCTTAAGCAGGCTCCACACCCAGCATGGAGCCTGACATGGGGCTCGATCTTACAACCGTGAGCTGAAATCAAGAGTTGGATGTTTAACCAACTGAGCCGCCCAGGCATCCCAGTGAGGCACTTCTTAATACTTCACTGGCCATGGTCAGATTTTGAGCGTGGCTAAGGCATTACATCTCAATTTTTAATAAAAAATCTTCCCTTTACAGAACATAAGTAACATAACATGATAAAATAAATCTCACATGCCATCCCATCATGTGTCTTCCTGTGGGTTTTGCCTTCCCTTCTCTTTTTTGAGACTCACTGGTCTAGTTTTACCTTCTTACATTAAAGGTGAAGAAACTGGGGCACCTGGGTGGGTCAGTCGTTAAGTGTCTGCCTTCGGCTCAGGTCATGATCCCAGGGTCCTGGGATTGAGCCCCGCGTCAGGCTCCTTGCTCAGCTGGGAAGCCTGCTTCTCCCTCTCCCACTCCCCCTGCTTGTGTTCCCTCTCAAACTGTGTCTCTCTCTGTCAAATAAATAAAATCTTTAAAAAAAATAAATAAATAAAGGTGAGGAAACTGAGGCCAAAAATTACCTATGGGATTTGCCTAAGATCACATAACGAAGACTCTAATAAGATGCGGATGAAGAATGCCAAAATTTGGGACTTAAAAGCCCAAATTGGACATTTTTTCCCCTAAACCTTCAAGTAGTTGTCAGATGGTGTATGAGTTTATGTGTGATGCAGGCCACGGCATGAGGGTGGGCATCTGCTAGAGTATTTTCCATGCTACCAGGAAGAAGAGCTATATTTCATTTACAGGATGGAAAATAACTTGAGATACTCAAAGACTTGGCTTTGTTGTTTGCCTTTTTGGTGACGTTCTGATTTCAGGAATATTATTAATTTGGATTTCTTTCATTTTTCCTGGATAAATATTTATATATTGTGAGATACACATTTATTTCATCTATGGCTTGGTCTTTTTTGTTTACTCTTTTACCATAGGCCAGTGTATGCAACAGACATTATCCACCCACCAAGTGATCAGTGCATGCTCTGCCTGGCTTCCCTTGGGTTTCCAGCCTCCCTAGTTTCATGATGGGAGTCATGATGCCTGCTGGCTAAGGATCTGTAACATCATGAAAGTTTACCTGTGAACTTTCTTGCAGGTGGAATAAGTGCCACTTAATGAGAATACTCTGACTATACTTCAGTGTGCTAGTGACTTCTTTTTTTTTTAAGATTTTATTTATTTATTTGACAGAGACAGCAAGAGCAGGAACACAGGCAAGGGGAGTGGGAGAGGGAGAAGCAGGTTTCCCGCCGAGCAGGGAGCCCGATGTGGGGCTCAATCCCAGGACCCTGGGATCATGACCTGAGCCGAAGGCAGATGCTTAACAGGATGAGCCACGCAGGCGGCCCTCGTTTTTTTTTTAAAGATTTTATTTATTTATATGAGAGAGAAAGCATGAGCCAGGGGAGAGGCAAAAGGAGAGGGAGAAGCAGGCTCCATGGCAGACTCCCTGCTGAGCATGGAGCCCAACCTGGGGCTCAATCCCAGGACCCCATGATCACGACCTGAGCCAAAATCAATAGTCAGCTGCTCAACCAACTGAACCACCCAGGTGCCCCTCAACTAGTTTCTTCTCAAATCATGTCTTTGGTTAGCCAGTGTTATTCAGAGCCTGACCTTCTGACACTTTCCTCCAGGACCCTCTTGCTAGGTTTTATATATTTTAGAGGACCAGGGCAGGGCGTTTGAACACTGGGGAGAACATAGAGATTATCTAGTTCAAATTATTTGTTTTCCAGGTAGAAAAAGTTGGGACCCCAGGGAATTAAGTGATCTGTTGAAGACATTGCCTTAAAAAGCTGTTAACTTCGGATGAATCATGCCCCTTTATCAGGGTCATAGTTTTTATTTTTTAAAGAAGATTTTATTCGTACATAATCTGTACACCCATTGTGGGTCTCAAACTCACAACCCTGAGATCAAGAGTCTCACACTGTGCTGACTGAGCCAGCCAGGCGCCCCCAGGGTCATAGTTTTTAAGCAGATTTAGGCTTGTCAAACTAACATGTACACTCGTGCAGTACCAACCCCTTTTGCACATAGCACTGAGCTCAGTGCTGTGAGGAGCATAGCATGTTCTAGTTGAGAACACTGGCCGTGACCTGCTTGAGATCGCACAGCTAGAAGCAGCAGAGCTAGGACTTCTGAACAAACTGTTTTTCACTCTGCTGTGTTGTCTTCCTGTTCGTTTCTAAGACGCCTTCTGTCTCAGTGAGGTTATAAAAATGTTTAAGGAGCGAAGAAATCTAGGGGTGCCTGGGTGGCTCAGTCGTTGGGCATCTGCCTTCGGCTCAGGTCATGGTCCCAGGGTCCTGGGATCGAGCCCCACATCGGGCTCCCTGCTCAGCGGGAAGCCTGCTTCTCCCTCTCCTACTCCCCCTGCTTGTGTTCTCTTTCTCGCTGTCTCTTTCTCTGTCAAATAAATACATAAAATCTTTAAAAAAAAAAAGCTAAATAATCTAGACTTAACATAGTGTGATATTAATAGAGGGGCACCTGGCTGGCTCTGTCAGAAAAGCATGTCACTCTTGATCCCGGGGTCGTGAGTTTGAGCCCCATGTGGGGTATAGAAATTCCTTATAAAAAAAAAACCCATTTAAAAATATATGTATCAGGGCGCCTGGGTGGCTCAGATGGTTAAGCGTCTGCCTTCGGCTCAGGTCATGATCCCGGAGTCCTGGGATCGAGTCCCACATCAGGCTCCCTGCTCTGCGGGGAGCCTGCTTCTCCCTCTCCCTTTGCCTGTGCCTCTCTCTCTCTCTCTCTCTCTGACTCTCATGAATAAATAAATAAAACATTTAAAAAATAAATATATATGTATCAAACAGAATAAAATACAAATTTTGATGTTAAAAAAATTAATTTGGGGCACCTGGCTTACTCAGTCGGAAGAGCATGTGACTCTTGATTTCAAGGTCGTGAGTTTGAGCCCCATGTTGGGTGTAGAGATTATTTAAAAATAAAATCTTTAAAAAACAAATTAACTCATCTTTCTTTTACCAGCCCTACTGCCATTGCCTGTGTTCAGAACTAATCATTTTTCTCCAGGACTGTTGTAATAGCTAGTTTTCCTTCCACTCGATTCTTTACCTTCCCCCCTCTTTTTTAAATGGATTTATTAAGGTATGTAATAAGCTGCACATATTTAAGACGTACCATTTGATGAAGTTCAGCCTGCATACATCCTTAAAACCACCATCACAGTTAAGAAAATGGGCATATGCATCACCCCCAAGAGTTTCCTCATGCCCTTTGGTAGTTCCTCTCCTCCCTCTTCCTGTTACCTTCTCCCTCCCTCCCATTGCCATCTCCAGGTAACTGTTGATCAGCTTTCTGTCACTTTAGGTTAATTTGCATTTTCTCAAATTTTATATAAATAGAATCAGACAGTATATACTGTTTCTTGTCTACTTTCATTCAGTATAATTATTCCGAGACCCAGTCATGTTGTGTGCATCGATAGTTCATTCCTTTCTATAGCTGAGCAGTAATCGATTGTATCACAATTTATCTTTTCACCTGTTGGTGAACATTTGGGTTGTTGTCAGTTTTTGGCTATTACAAATAAAGCCCCTGTGAATGTTTGTGTACAAATCCTTGTATGAACATATGCTTTCATTTTCCTTGGATGAATATGTCAAAGTGGAATGGCTGGGTCATATGGTAGGTGTGTGTTTATCTTTTTAAGAAACCTCGGTTGGGACGCCTGGGTGGCTCAGTCGGTTAAGCATCTGCCTTCGGCCCGGGTCATGATCCCGGGGTCCGGGGATTGAGTCCCATGTCGGGCTCCCTGCTTGGCGGGGAGCCTGCTTCTCTCTCTGCCTGTCACTCCCCCTGCTTGTGCTCTCTCTCTGACTCAAATAAGATCTTTAAAAAAAAAAAAGAAAGAAAGAAACCGGCGGACTCTTCCAAAGTGGTTTTTACTATTTTACATTCTCTTCAGCAGAGTGTAAGGGCTCTAGTTGCTGTGTCTCTTGCCAACACATACATGTGGTCTTTTCTCTTTTAGCTATCCTAGTAGGTATGTAGTACAGCATTGTGGTTTTAATTTGCGTTTTCCTAATGTTTGATGATGTTGAACACCTTTTTATGTGTTTATTTGCATCATGTTTTTGTGTGCATGAAGCCTCTTTTTCAAAAACTTTCTTTTTTTTAAAAAACTTTTTATCTTGAGATGATTGTACATTCATACTATTTAACATTTTATTGGATTTTTTTAAGATTTAATTATTTATTTTTAAAGGTTTTTTTAAAATTTATTTGATATAGAGAGACACAGCGAGAGAGGGAACACAAGCAGAGGGAGTGGGAGAGGGAGAAGCAGACTTCTCACTGAGCAGGGAGCCCGATTCGGGGCTGGATCCCAGGACCCTGGGATCATGACATGAGCCGAAGGCAGACACTTAATGACTGAGCCACCCAGGCGCCCCGAGATTTAATTTTTTTAAAGTGATCTCTACACCCAACATGGGGCTTGAACTTACAACCCCAAGATCAAGAGTTGCACGCTCCCCTACTGAGCTAGCCAGCGCCACTGGATTGTTTTTGTATTACTGAGTTTTGAGAGTTCTTTATATTCCAGATGTGAATCTTTTATTAGATAAGCGATATGCAAATATTTCCTCCTACTCTGTGGCGTACTTTCAAAATTCTCTTAACAGTGTCTTGTGATGCGCCCGAAATTGAACTTTAGTGTAATATTATGTTTTTTTTTTAAAGATTTTATTTACTTATTAGAGAGTATGCACATGAGAGAGAGTGAGAGAGAGAAAGCAGGAGCAGGGATGGGGAGAGGGAGAGGCAGACTCCCTGGGACCCTGGGATCATGACCTGAGCCTAACGCAGACACTTAACCAACCACTGAGCCACCCAGGCACCCCTAGTTTAATGCTATCTTAAAGTGACCTGATGTTTTGTCATTTGGGTATAATTTAAAAAAATCTTAAGATAGAATGTTGATTCTTTGGAATGTGAACTTTCACGGTTTTGTCCATTTTGTATTTGAACTGCACCAGAATTCATTCCGATTCTGTTGTCTTCTGTTTGTCACTGTTCTCTGTCTTAGACGAGGAGTTGTTTTTGGTCTCTGGAGCGCCTGTGCTTCGGTGGGCAATATTTTGGGAGCATGCCTAGCTTCTTCTGTTCTGCAGTACGGGTATGAGGTAGGTATTTCCTTCTAACTTTTTCTTGAGTACATATAATATGTTTTGTTTTTTAGGAAATAATACTGTGGCCATCTAGAACTGTGTAGAGCTGTGTTTGGGTGGGGCAAGGCTTATATTAAAAGTAGACAAACTTCTGAGAATTTCAAACACAGAAATTATTCTTGGAAAAAATACCAAGTCTAAAGACAGTATAATCAAGTGGGAAAAAAGTATTTGCAATTCATGTCACAGATCAAGAGCTAATCTCCCTAATATGTAAAGAGGACCTGCAAATTGATAAGAAGACCAACAATACACAAAAAGAAAGGTAAAGGATTTGAATGTGTTGTTCAAATAGAAATGGCTTTGAAATAGGTGACAAGATATTCCACTTCATTTGTAACTTATTCACTGTCCCATTCAGTAAATACATATCACAGTTCTCTAAGTGCCCCTAGGCAGTAGAGAATAGAGCACTGGCCAAAAAAGAAAAACTTTGCCCTGTGGAGCTTAGGTGTTATTTGGTGGAGAAATGCAAATTAAAACTACACTGTAAAAAAGAAAGAAAAAGAGAAGAAAGAAACTATGCTGTATACTTATTATATTGGTAAGAATCTATAAACTTGATACCATTTTGTGCTTATGAGGATTGACCCCTCTTGGAGTCAGTCTGAGACTGTCTATCAAAATGACACCTGCTCTAACCGAGCTGTCCACCTCCATGAATTAATCCCACGGGTGAATATACTTCCACGTGTACAAAGTGATGTATCTACGTGGTTATTTCAGTGTTGTTTGTAAGAGCAAAAAACTGGTTACAAATGTGAACCAGGAGGGAGACACAGTGTGACACATCTGTGCAAGGGAAGGTGGCACAGCTGTGAAGTGGAATTCGGAAGTGCTCTGGGTCCTGATAGGGAAAGTTCTCCAAGGTTTGTTAAGTGAAGCAAGCCAGGGTACAGAACAGTGTGTGCTGAACGATGCCATTTTTGTAAAATGGAGGAAGAATCAGAGTATATATTTGTATTGGACTGTATTTCTAAAACAGTCTCTGGGAAGTAGAAATCAAATAACAGCAATGGTTATATGTTAGGGAAATGGGGATTAAGTGGACGGGGGAAGAGGTGGGAGGGAGAGATTTTACTATCCATCCACTTTTTGTTGCTTGGATCATGTGGAAGTGTGATGTATTCAAAACCCTAAATAATTAAAAGTAAGTGTAGTTGCTCTTTTAAAAAGTAGATAAATTGGGGCGCCGGGGTGGCTCAGTCGTTAAGCGGCTGCCTTCGGCTCCGGTCGTGGTCCCAGGGTCATGGGATCGAGCCCCGCATCGGGCTCCCTGCTCAGCAGCGGGAAACCTGCTTCTCCCTCTCCCGCTCCCCCTGCTTGTGTTCCCGCTCTCGCTGGGTCTCTCTCTGTCAAATAAATCAATAAAATCTTTTTAAAAAATAAAAGTAGATAAATTTTGAAATAGTTCACCAGGTGTTTGGTCTCAGAAGAATTTTGGTCGAGTTTGGCTCAACGAGAAGTCCTTCCTGTATTCCCAGTCACCTTTATTCCGGGCTTTTTGGCTTTGCGTCTGGATTGTACTAATTGGGCTCAGATGGGAATTTTGGTTCAAGTGCGGCTCCCAGATTTGGCTTCTGGAAACACTAATTTTGTCACTGTGTTTTCCAGAAATTTATGTCCATATCAGGGCCCATTCCCTATTAAATAAAATTCCGCTGTGCAGCCTGGCTTTTGAGGTTCTTTAATCTTGATCTCACCCTTTCCTAGCAGTTTTATTCCTGGCTGTCCCTTAGCAGAAGCCCCCGCTTTGACCCCGCGGGAGGCTTTCTCTCTCATTCGCACCCTGTCCCTTTGCTTCAGGTGTGCTGGGACGGACCGTAAGTTGCCTTTTCAGCTCTTCCTGAAGACACCGTGTTGCTGCGCCAGGATGTTTAGCTGTTTCCTTCGATTTGTGTTTCTTATTAGGACTGGGCCTTCCCCTTTATTCGCCTACTTGATGCCTTGTACTATGGTTTGGTGTATTGTTTAATCCCCTCAACTGGATAGAATAGTTTCGAGGGCAGATAGTGTCTCTTGTGGGAAGCTCTGTGGGACAGAGAATGAGGTTTTGGAGCCAGTCCTGACTTCACAGTTGTGGTGGTACCACTCACTGTCCCTGGGACCTTAACTGGCCTCTCTGAGCCTCCGGGGGAAAATGCGTGGAAAACACAAGTGAAACAGCTCCGTGCCTGGCACAGCCTGAGCACTCAGTGCTCATTTCCTTCCCCATCGCCCTCTTCTTCCCACCCGATCCCCCGCCTTCCCCACACGTGCTTCTAGTGGGTGTGCTCTAAGCAGTATCCCAGGTGTGCAAACAACACCTCTCTCCTCTTCTCCAGTATGCCTTTCTGGTGACAGCGGCTGTGCAGTTTGCTGGTGGGATCGTCATCTTCTTTGGACTCCTGGTGTCACCAGAAGAAATTGGTGAGGAGGAGCTGTCCTTTCTGTTCAACACGTCTTACTGTTATGGGCGAAGAGAAACCTGAGGCCAGCACGGCCGGTCTCTTGTTCCCTAGGAGAACTGTGAGCTCCTTTCAGGGGGTTGGAGGAGTGGTATTTGCTGTTTGTGTTCCGCGGACACCGGTTGGCTGACTGGGCGCAGCTGCAGACGTTTGAGGGGAGTGAGGCTCGCCTTTCTAGATTCAGGGAAAACTCTCCATTTGCAAATGAGCTTTGTAATTGAGACACTGACTGGAAATTAGCATGATCTATTTCTCATTTCACTTCTTCAGACAGATTTCTCTCCCTTCATAAAAGGAATTTAGTTGATACTTACCTGTGGTTACATATAAGCAAAACCACAGAAGCAAATAGATGTACAATTCCATCTTTTGCGTGTTATTGAAGAGACATGTTAGTTTAATTGTGTGTTATTAATGTTTTCTTAAATGTAATAGAGGTAGTATAATGTCGTTGAAAAAGCATTGCTTTGAATCTAGTTAGTAAAGTAGAATCAGAGTCCTGACTTTGCTGCTTATTAGCTATGTGACCTTAATCAACTTTGGTTGACTTTGGCCTTGAACCTTAGTTACTTCTTCTGTAAAGTGGAGATAAAAATAATCTCGACCCCATGAGTAATGATACATACAAAGCACCTTGCACAGTGCCAGGCATCTAGAAGGCACTCTATAAATCGTGGCTCTTACTGTTTTAGGTCTCCCAGGTATCGAGGCAGAAGAAAATTTCGAAGAAGACTCACACAGGCCATTGATTAATGGCGCTGAAAACGAAGACGAATATGAGCCTAATTATTCCATCCAAGAAGGCAGTACTGTTACCCAGGTCAAGGCAATAAGCTTTTATCAGGCCTGTTGTCTTCCTGGAGTTATACCGGTAAGGACTGTTCAGATCTCCTTACCACAACTCATGAGATATTATAGCTTGGATATTAGCTCTACCTGCGATAAAGCATCTTGAAGTGTTTAGCTTCTCCTTGATACCTTATTTTAGGAATACACGTTCAGAGGAATATTGTATAGTGCCCCTCAGCTTGTGTCTGGGGAGACCACGACTTGAAATTTTATCTGCGTTCTAATGCAGAGTTAGTGTTCCTTTTCTGTGAAGAGCCAGATAGTAAATGTGTTCAGCCTCGGGGAGGCCGGGGGGGAGGGGGGGGCGGGTCATACAGTCTCTACCACAGCTACTCACATCTGTAGAACACATGAAACCCTGGATGGTATGGAACAAAGGGGTGTGGGCAGGTTTGGCCCGTGAGCTCTAGTTTGCTGACCCTGACCCTGCATTCAAGTAAGAAGGCAAAATTAGTGTTCTTAAATACGTTCTTTTTGGCCTGTTGAAGTAGTATAGAATTATATGTGACCAAGAGGGGTTTTGAATGGTTCATTTAAGTCTGCCTTATTTGCCTGTATTATCATTCTAGAAAAAAATTGTTTGCCCTTTTATTAAAAGGTGCAGAACACAGTACTCCCAACAATATTTCTTGGTGATGCGTTCCAGTGTTTCCAAAACCTTTGCGGTCAGGAGAATTTACTAATGTCTGAACTAAGTCCCTTCTGCTGCAGTTTTTCTGTCTTGATGTTTGGGGCGTGCCCGCACGGGAGTGGAAGTTAGGAGGCCTAGGGTGTTGTCCAGCTCACCATTAAGCCTCTCTAGGGCCTGGGGTAAGTCGCGCAGCCCATCCCTGTGTCCTCGGTGCCTCCTTCCCATGGGGCAGAGAGTAACCCCGTCTGCCCCGGGGTCTCTAACGCTGAGCTCCTGGATTGTGAATAAGCACCTGGTTTTGTTCATTTTATTGTCTAATGGTGCTTTACAAATGTCACCCCTCAGCTGGCTTCAGAGTCTGCGTGCTTACTAGCCCCCTCTGCCTGTGCCCCCAGGCTGAGAGGACCGACATTTGCAGACAGACAGTGAAGTGTGAGTGAGAATGTAAGTGTACGGTTGCCACAGTTCTGTAGCCAAAAGACAATATATAAGCGGAATGCAAGGTCCTTGAGGCCTGTTCTTAGGCTAAAGATTAGTGATTTTTGAGTAGTTGTTAAAATAGTCTGCTGGTAATCACTTCCTTTCTGGGACAGACCTTACATCTGTTGTGACTAAATATGAAACTCTTGCTACTCCTTTGTATTTCACAAGCAGTTGTTCCCTGACTCGGGCAGGGATGCAGAGAAAACGGAGTTAACTTAATTCCTTTGTCCCTGGAGCAGGCTGTCTGGACAAAATGCCCTCATGATTGGGACTCAGCTCTCTAGGGGGCGGCCGTTGCCCTGCCAGGGAAGCTGTTTTACAACAAGTGATACCTAGGCAGTAACTGGCCGCTCCCGGGAAAAGAATATACTCTCCAGACACCCTTTGAAGTCAGCCTCTCTGTTCCTCCCCCTTTTTCCTTTGATGCTAAATGTCAGGAGTCCCTGGTAATAACGTGTTGAATATAGGAGTCTTAGCACCACTGCCACTTTTAGTCCTCCAAGCAGAGCCACAAGGCCCAGGATGGTCATGCTCTTTGATTTCTGACTCAGCAAAGATACTTTTTGCTTTTCCACTGGATGTTGGAATACAAGGCTTTTGGAAACCATAATGTGAAAGTAGTTCTAAAGTCGCTGCTTTTCTTAGACCTTGGAACTATAGTTTCGTCACATTGCTCTCCAATGTTCATGATGGTAACTTTGCAGGAAGTAGAAGAACCAAAAAAGGTGGGGCTGCTTGGAATAAAAGCTGTGATGTTTACTGGATTTCTTTGCTTGTGGTTAATGATAGTTAGTGGTACGAATACCTTTTATCTTTGTCTAAATAAAGAAACATGAGTGTATGCTCTGCCTTTGAGGTTCAAAACACTGCTTTGCTTCTACCGGGGAACTGAAAGGAGAAGAAACTGGGGACAATTAAGAAATAGTCATGTGTATTTTTATTCCAGAGGCCTGCTGCACATGCCTTTCTGGAAGCTAATGGGGATAATAAAGAGAAGTGGGAGACTAGCTGAATTCAGGCAAATGGGAATTTATAGAAGTGTGTAATTTTAAAATCAGGTACTATTCTTCCCAGACCCCTGTGTATGGTTTTGGTTTTGAATTACATTAAGAATTGTGGTCCTTCTGTGTTGTTTGTTCCTCATCGAAAGTCGAATGTTTTTCTTGTAGTACTCACTGGCCTACGCCTGCTTGAAGTTAGTAAATTACTCCTTCTTCTTCTGGTTGCCCTTTTATCTGAGTAACAACTTTGGATGGAAGGAGGCTGAAGCTGACAAGTTGTCCATTTGGTACGATGTTGGAGGAATTATAGGTAATGCCAAGTGATCTTTTTCTGTGAAGAGAGTTAGTCACTGGTAATATTTTACTGGGTTATGAAATCTGACATCGTTTAAAGTTTTGTTACTTAGTCCACAGCCATTTTTCCTAAACCGTCCTACCAGGAAACAGCTAAAGTCTTAAAAAAAAAAAAGAATCCGTGGAAAGGAAGAGCCAGCCCACGGCAGCCCTGTGATTTATAGGGCTCTTTTTTTCTCGGTTCTTTGTTTATGGATCAGTTCTTTTGTGTTGGGAAGCACAGGGATGTTTCCCTCTGCCATCTCTTTAAATGTAACCCTTTCGCACACTTTCAGTGATATCTTAGATCTAAAGCTAATTGTATGCCAGAGATCCAAGTTAGAATGTGAATGTGTTCATTTTATCTACTTCCCAACTTCCCTACCACCCACAGTCAAAGAAGGGAAAATACTAGCTTAGTGTATAGATTTTGTCAGATCCTAGAGGTAGGAATAATAGTGGGTATTAATTTCTGTGAGTATTTTGCAACTGTTCCACTGCACACAGCAGATTTTAATAGTGACTTTTTGCTATGGCTGGAAGCATAAACAAGTACCTAAGAAACTCTAAAATAAGACCGTTGTACAGAGTGCATTTTATTGGGTGTTACCTATAGGGCTATGGCAAAATCATAACATCCTTTCTGTAATGTTTGGATTTAGAACTGTGCTAAGGCTAAGCTGCCCTGAGCACCTGAGAGCAGTGAGTCCTCAGGTGATACGCTGTTACTGTACTTGACCTTGTCTGCCCTTATTCTTAGATACAGAGCCAAAGGTGAGGCTGCCACTGTTAGACCTGACCATACTTCTGGGTCCTGCTGTCCAATGAGGATGTACCAGATGTCCCATAGCCCCTATTGCTCAAAATGTGGCTGCATCTAAATGTGACCTTGTTGCTTAAAGGATTCACATTACCTCTTTCTAAAGATCCTGACCTGTTCATTATCACCAAATCATAATCACTGCATTTAATTTTAGTGAACATTTATTGGCCTCCACTAACAGCCTGTGAGGCATGGTCTTTAATGAATCATCTTTTAAAATAAAAAGCAGAGGGGTGCCTGGGTGGCTTAGTCCGTTAGGCGTTCGACTCTTGATTTTGGCTCAGGTCATGATCTCAGAGTCGTGAGATTGAGCCCCCGTGTTGGGCCCTGTGCTGAACATGGAGCCTGCTTAAGATTCTCTCCCTCTGGGGCGCTTGGGTGGCTCAGTCGATTAAGCATCTGCCTTTGGCTCAGGTCATGATCTCAGGGTCCTGGGATCGAGCTTCTGCATGGGGCTTCCTGCTCAGCAGGGAGCCTGCTTCTCCTTCTCCCTCTTCCACCCCCCTACTTGTGCTCTCTCTCTTTGTCAAATAAATAAATAAAATCGTAAAAAAAAAAAAAAATCCCTCTGCTCCTGCACATGCACGGGCTCTCTCTCTAAAATAAAATAAAATAAAATAAAATAAAATAAAATAAAATAAAATAAAAAGCAGAAAAATCAGGAAAAGCCTGGTTTGAGAAGTGAGAACAGCAAGGGACAGTGGGTGGTTTTGATGATTTTTTTCCTTTTTCCTTATTTTGCTGTGTGATTCATGGTGTCCTGTTCCTATCAGCCTTCATGGCCATTAACAGTCAGGTAATCTTCCTTAAAGGAAGCTGTGGAGGAAGCTTGTTTGGGAGAGTCAGCTATCTTTTTGGGTAGACCAGTGTCAGGATCCTGCTAGCAGGGAGAGAGTACGTGGAGAACAAGCTTCAGATAAACTGAGCTAAATCATAAACAATTTTGCTTGTCATGCGCTCTTGGTACTTGCAGGTGGGACTTTGCAAGGTTTCATCTCGGACATATTACAGAAGAGAGCACCAGTTTTAGCTCTCAGTCTGCTTCTGGCTGTTGGGTCCCTCGTTGGATATAGCCGTGAGTATTCCCTTGCAACTGAATTATTTTTCTGATCTCTCAGGACTAAGGCATTTGCCATGAGTCAGTGATCAGCCCCGGAGAGATGCTTGAGACCAGCTACAAAGGTTGATACGAGACCTTTGTATTGTCCTGTAAATGCCTGGTAAAAGTATCATCACGTAGTTTTATTTGTGTTGGGGAGGAAACTGGCATCTCTCCTGCTTTGTTGGTTTGTTTAAAAGCTTGTTTGGGAGTGTATCTGCTTTGTTTGAGGGTAGGCTCCAGAGGGCCAGCATTAGAGCCAATAAAACAATAAAAGGGAAAGGGTTTCAAAAGAGGAAAGATGGTAATTAGTAGGTTTGGTATATGTCCCTTAAGATGCTGCTGAGATGGGAGTAGAGTTTTTCTTCAGCTTTTAGAAGTCTCATTAGCTTGAGCACCAGCCAGAGGCAGACATTACAAATAAAAGTTGGAGTAGGCGGTGAAAGAGTTGTATCCCTTTGTTGTCTCTGGGAGTGATCTGTGAGGTCACTGAGATCCAGATCTTTCTGTGCTGTTCAGTGGGGGCCGATGCCATCTGCTTTTAAAGTCAGCATGCTGTTTCTGCGTCTTTTCTCATAGGTTCTCCGAACGATAAGTCCATTAATGCACTTCTGATGGCGGTTACAGGTATGTGGTGTGGCTCCATTTTACTATACTGTTACTGCTCCGCTGTAAATAGAAAGGAAGAAAGGGAAACCATTTGCTCCCTTGGTTTGAGTAATACTAAAACCTTCATTATAAAGAGCTCCGATGGTAAAAGGAAAGCTGCCTACTTCAGATTCAGATTCCGTTTCTCTGCTATCAAGTGACTTCTTCAGTCCTGTTGTTACGGAAGCAGTCCCCTTGGACAGAGATTTTTCTAAAATGTTTGATTGCTTCCTCAGCTTCCCTTATTACTTCTGGAGGTGGTTTAGGAAGACGCCACATTGGAAACCAATTCACCAGCTTTCAAAAAGGTTTCCTGGGGCGCCTGGATGGCTTGTTCGTTGGGCGTCTGCCTTAGGCTCAGGCCATGATCCCAGGGTCCTGGGATCCTGGGATCAAGCCCCACATTGGGCTCCCTGCTCAGCGGCAACCCTGCTTCTCCCTCTCCCACTCCCCCTGCTTGTGTTCCCTCTCTTGCTGTGTGTCTCTCTGTCAAATAAATAAAATCTTAAAAAAAAAAAAAGGTTTTCTAACTATGTTGGAATTGGTCAGTATTTCTCCATGTGAGCACCAGATGAAACAGTTAAGTGTAATTAGGGACCACGGTATAGAAAGATTATTTTTAAACTTTAGATCCTACTCAGGTTAGTGAGAGCTGCTCATGATACGTGACATGGAACTCATTCTACCCAAGTGAACGGAGTCACGTGGGCCAATTCCTGCTCAGTCCTCAGACAGCCTCGTGGGGAGCAGTGGCTGATAGAACCGTCTGTCAGATGACAGAGCCTTTTCTCTTCTCTCTTTTTTTTCAATGTGTGTGGTTGAATTTGGATAGTCAGATACTCAGTTGATACAACTCTACCACAGTAGAAGTTGACAGCAAGTGTAATTAGTAATTAGTTATTGATGAATGCAGTCCTTACAGGATTAGAAAGGCTGTATATTCACTGTATTTTCTGTATCTTTGGTTTTTATAAAATATACCAGGGTATCATATAATTCAAGTAGGGCTTTCAGAAAAGTGGATGCTAACTAGTTTGAAGATGACATGATCTGGAAGAGTTTTCATCTTTACTGTTTTTTTCCTCCCCCTTTTGCTGTTTCTCTCCAACATATTGATTAAAAGGTTGGGATAAGAGTTGTCTTGTCCAGTAGATTTCTAGCGGTGTGATGAATAATGTTTTAATGAGAACCTGTTTTGTTTATGACTTCAGGATTTTTTATTGGTGGACCTTCTAACATGATTAGCTCTGCTATTTCTGCGGACCTGGGTCGCCAAGAGTTGATCCAAGGGAGCAGTGAGGCTTTGGCGACCGTCACAGGAATTGTTGATGGAACTGGAAGCATTGGAGCTGCGGTGGGCCAGGTGAGGGGAACAAGAGAGGGCTTGAAATTGAGTGGTGAGTAGTCTCTCGGTGGTGGGAGAATTTACACCTGCCCTCTGGGCCACAGTAGGTGGCACTCTCGTTCTGCGTAATATACTTTTCTGTAAGCCTTAGGTTTCTAATCTTCTTTGAGGTCAGCTAACGGGACCTAATGTGGAAGGTCCCTCTACATTTTTTTAGTTTCTTCTTCCCACTTTTATTTCCAGATTCTTCCCGTCTGGAAATAAGCTGACATCTCATAAGACAGATCCTCAGTCCCAGTTTGCTACTCCCTTCTTCGCAGCCTGAACTTGGCACTCCGAGGGGCCGTGAGGCACATGCTTCTCATTATCCCCCACCTGGCATGCACACCCTATCTCCTCTCTCATACCAGACACACAAGTTCTTCTCATGGATCTCTACCAGAAATTGCCACGGATTCGGCAGCTGCTCGGAGTCACTTTCTCTGCTTCCAATGACTGTGTCTCAAAGGGAGATTCATAAATGTCTTGTGTCAGAATCATCTGGGTTATTCATTAAAGTATGGAACACTGAGCTTACTGCAGGCTTGCTGAATTAGAACCTGGAGATCTGTGTTTCAACAAGCCTTCCTGGTGATTCTTATCCACTCTAAACTTGAGATTGTCTAGGCTAAGATTGGGCTACAGTAAGTAGTCAGAACTACTCAAAAGCTTAAATTCAGCCTTCTCTTCCTTGGGACAGTTGCGACTCATGCCTCTTCTAGGGTATACCTTTCCAGGTCATTGAGGGCTAATTTTGCAAAAAGAAGGATCAGAGAATCATCTGCATAGATAAAATAGATGAAACTTTGGAAGTTAATGAGATGTTTAATGGGCAAAGAAAATAGAGGCAAAACCTCAGGGGTTGCCCAGTGGTCAAAGACATAGGAAGTCAGCAGTGCCGTGTAGGCAAGGGGAGGTGCTAGTCAGTGAGATCAGAGGTGTAGAGGGGCCAGAGAAGGAGAATGGAAGAAAAAAGTCTCTTAGTTTCGACACTCAGGTCATTACCGGCCTTGAATATTGCTGTTTTGCTTGCTCTGTGGGGATAGATCACCAATGTCTGATTGCTGGTGGTTAACGAGAGAGCAAGTATTGAGGAAAATAAGCCATCTTCATGCTTATCACTACCCAGCCATATGTTATATATTTATTTGTTATTGTGTCCCATGGTAGCCCCAGTACATAGGACGGTGTCTGGCACACAGTAGTTGTGCTCATATCTGTTGAGTGGCTCTAGAATGAATGGTTGATAGGGTTGATATATCAAGCTTAGCGTACTTGATTATGAGACTGAAGAGGGAAAAAAAAAAACCTAGCAAAAGTAGGAGAAATGTGCTTACTTGATTGTGTGCTGGAGTAGGAACCAAAAATGCTGTTGGCTACCAGTTCAGAGGTCTTTATATAAAGGGTAAGGGGTGATTGTATTGGGCATCCTTTTCTGATATCACTGTATTCTCAGTAGTCGTTTCTCCCTGATGTTTTTTTCATTAATCAAATGGGTGGGTTATATAATGAGCATTTCAAGGAATTTAGTTGTTGTTGTTGTTTAAGATTTTTATTTATTTGAGAGAGAGAGAGAGCATGAGAAAGGGGAGGGTCAGAGGGAGAAGCAGACTCCTCGCTGAATGGGGAGCCTGATGCAGGACTCCATCCCAGGACCCTGGGATCATGGCCTGAGCTGAAGGCAGACACTCAACCGACTGAGCCACCCAGGCGTCCCTCAAGGAGTTTATTTGTATTTGGAATGTCTCACCTGCCAGTATTTGGATCCCTAACTATGAACTTGGGTCAGCATTAGGCTCACTTTGGTGGTTGGGGAAATGGGATCCGGAGTAAATCATTGTTAGCTTTATTCATTCCTCTTCATATTGATTTTTGACTAATTTCCCATTGCGTGGGGTATGAGATTCCAAACTCTATGACTTAATATTAGAAACTTGATGAGCCTTGTCCCGGCTCTCCTGATTTACCCTGAACAGCTTTTTTCCCCACCTTCCCTTGACTTCACAAGAAAAATGTTTGTTTCTCTCTTGGTTTCCATAGCGGTTGATGCCTACCTCTAATAGAGTGCTTGTCACGGTGCATCGCATTTACTGGTTTATCTGTGCCAGACTCTGCATTTCCTTAAGAACAGGAACTGTTTCCTTGATCTTTGTGGTCCCAATGGCTTAGTATGTTTTTGACACATAGTAGGGTCTCAGTAAGATTAAATTGTGGTATCTATCCAAGGAAAATGAGAACAAATGTCCACATAAACACTTGAACACATACATGTTCATAGCTGGATTACTCATAACAGCTAAAAAGTAGAAAAAACCCAGATGTCCATCGACTGAGGAACAGATAAACAGAATGTGTGTATTCATATGATGCAGTAGTATTTGGCATTTGAAGAGGGTATCTGGCACTTAAAAGTGGATAGATGTTACGTGGACGCACCTGAAAAATAGTATGTAAGTGAAAGAAGCCAGTTACAAAAGACCATGTACTTAAATGATTTCATTCATATGAGATATCCAAAATGGGCAAGTCTATAGGGAAAGAAATTAGATTAGTGGTTGCCTGGGGTCAGGTGGATCTACAGAGTGACTGTTGATGGGTAGAACATTTCTTTTGGTAGGGGGTGATAGAAATGGTCTAAAATTACATTATGGTAATAGTTGCACAATTCTGTAAATATTGAGTTGTATACTTTAAATGGGTGAATTTTATGTTATGTAAATTGTATGTCAATAAAACTGTTTAAAAGAAAGATAAAGTGGCAGAAAGACTTGGGAGCGCTGCTGTGAGCCCTTTAACCGGTGACTAGACCTTTGCTTTTTTGCTTTCCATTATGTAATCTAGGCTACATCACTCACTCATTTTGCTTTAATTTTTTTCTGCTTATAAGTTTCACTGGTAGTGTGTGATGGAAGAACATGGGTAAACTCTCACATCTGTGGTCAGTTGATTTTTTTTTTTAAAGATTTTATTTATTTACTTGACAGAGGGAGAGAGACAGAGCACAGCAGAGGGAGTGGCAGGCAGAGGGAGTGGCAGGCAGAGGGAGAGGGAGAAGCAGGCTTCCCACTGAGCGGAGAGCCCAACACAGGGCTCCATCCCAGGACCCTAGGATCATGACCTCAGCCGAAGGCAGATGCTTCACCAACTGAGCCACCCAGGCGCCCTGGTCAGTTGATTTTTGACAAAGGTGCCAAGACTATTCAATGGGGAAAGAATGGTTTCCTCACCAGATCATGCTGGGGAAGCTGGATATACACACACGCAGGATGAAGGTGGACCCCTTGCCTTACAGCGTAGACAAAAATTGACGCAAAATGGATCAAAACCTAACTTTAAGAACTAAAACTATAAAAACTCTTAGAAGAAATTATAGGGATAAATCTTCATGACAAATATATGCAAATGGCCAATAAACACCTGTAAAAATTCTCAACATCCTTAGTTATTAGGGAAATGCAAACCAAAACCTCAGTGAGATACCACTTCACACCTATTAGGATGGCTATCACTTTACAAACAACAACAGAAAAGAACAAGTAGTTATGAGGATCTGGGGGAAGTGGATCTCTTACATTGCTGGTGGGAATGTAAACTGGTGCAGCTGCTGTGGAAAATGCTTTGGTGGGTCCTCAAAAAGTTAAACATGGAATTACCATGTGACCCCGCAGTTCCATTCCTAGGAATATACCTTAAAGAACTGAAAACAGGACTCATACATATATATACCAGTGTTCCCAGCAGCGTTATTCATAATAACCAAAAGGCTGAAACAAACCAAATGTTCAGCAGCTGATGACAGGACAGACAAAAGGTGGCATGTCCACAGCGTGGAATATTATCCAGCCATAGAAAGGGATGCTATTCCAACATGTGCCGCAGCCTTGAAGACAGTACACTGAGTGAGGTAAGCCAGGCCCAAAGGGACAAACATTGTGTGACTCCACTGAGCATGAAATCTCTAGAACAGGCAAATTCTCCTAGGTTACCGGGGGCTGGGAAGAGGGAGTGGTGGGGAGTTATTGCTTAATGGATGCAGCCTTAGTGTTTAGGGTGATGAAAAATTTTGGGAATAGATAGTGGTGATAGTGGTACAACACTGTGAATGTACATAATGCCTCTGAATTGTACACTTAAAAATGGTTAAAATGGCCAATTTTATATATATTTTATCATAATAGAAAAAGAAAATGGGTTAAATGCTATTAGATTCTTTTCGGTGATTGAAATAAAGTAAAAGAATTTGTTGTAGAATGTTAAAGCCGTATAGAAATCCTCTGAGTCTAAATAACACCATTGAAAAGTGGGCAACATGCTTAAAAGACAAACTGTTTTTAAAAGCATCAATTAGGGGCGCCTGGCGTTAAGCGTCTGCCTTCGGCTCAGGTCATGGCCCTGGGGTCCTGGGATCGAGCCCCACATCGGGCTCCCTGCTCGGCGGGAAGCCTGCTTCTCCTCCCTCTCCCACCCCCCCCTGCTTGTGTTCCCTGTCTCGCTGCGTCTCTCTCTGTCAAATAAATAAATAAAATCTTGAAAAAAAAAAAAGAAAAAAGCATCAATTATACTACCTTTCATTGGAAGAAAGAAGGATTAAACAGAAATGGCTTGAGGATGTTCATCTTCCTCTCTTATTAGCAAAGTGAATAAAAATAAACCTTAAAGTCCTGTCATCTCTTCTGCAGTGTTTGTACTTGGACTCTGCCAGCTTACAAGAGGAAGGCCAGATATCTTTTAAGTAGGAACATGCACGTGAAAGCTTTGCAAACTGAAAACCATTCTACAAATCCTAACTCCCTTCTCATTTTCTGGAAGAGCTGTGTTTAATCTACCTTTCAGCTACTTCGTTTGATTAATTTATAAAGGATTATATTGTAATTTCTTTTTCTCCCTTGTAGTATTTAGTGTCTTTGATCCAGGACAATCTGGGATGGATGTGGGTGTTCTACTTTTTCATTCTCATGGTAAGTGAGCGTGTGCCTTTTTTAACTCCTGGTTTTTCTTATGAATTTAGTTCAAAGCATTTACTTAGATCACTTTTTAAATCAGCACAGTTGCTGATTGCTCTTGATGACCCTTTTGTGAAAAGGAACGTGTCATGAGTCTAAAAGATACGTTCTTTTTTTCAAGGTGGGAACGGGTTTTTAGTTTGCCCTTGACCTGAGCCTAATGAGTATTGTCATTTATAATTCTAGAAAAAGTGGTGAGAGACTTACTGAAAGTATTACTCGGTGTACTCTTCTGGGGTACTCTCTAGCTGCTAGATATAATTTGGGAATTCTGAAGGAAATTACAGCATACACCAAGCAACATCGGGCTCAAAAAGAAGCATTGCTATAATTAACACTGTGGTATGTAGGTTCTAAAATGAAGAGAGTCTCTTGAGAAAATATTTGTCATGCCTTTAACATTCTTGGCTAGAATTGTGTACTTTCTGGGAAATAGCCAATTCAGAGCAAGGCCTTATACTTTTAAAATGTTGCTCTCTGTTGAATAAGTATGTGACCTCCCCTCCTACATTATTGGTGAGATGGTACTCAAGATAGGTCTACTTGAGAGAGTCTGGTGACAGCTTCATCCACGAGGGGATGCATTTTGTATCCCATCCCTAAATCTAGTACGTCCTAATTGGAGACAGCCTCAAGCACCCCAAGTCCAGCCATGGTCCTCCAGCCTTGTCCAAGGAGCCCAGGAGTTCAGCGCCCGAATTCCCTGGAGCTGCCTTAAGGCTATGTATTCTGCTATCACAAAGGATGCTGCTTCTGCCTAACTGCCTTCCAGCTTCTAAAGACTGGGCCATATGTCTCTGTGTTCCTATTCTGACATCTGTGCTAAATAGAGGGAAATGTCTCCTGATGAACCTGCTGTGTGATCATACAAGAAATTGTACTAGAAAGAAAACTGGATCTATTATGAGAAGCACTCTTTTTAAAGTGAGCTCCAGGGGCGCCTGGCTGGCTCAGTCAGAGCATGTGACTCTTGGTCCTGGGGTCATGAGTTTGAGCCCCACATTGGGTGCAGAGATTACTTAAACAAATAAAAAATAAATAAAAATAAATAAAGTGAGCTCTAGTACCAATTTTTTGCTCTACCTATGGCAAATTATTTAATTTTGTGTACCTTAGTTCTTTTTCTGGAGACTATGTAACATTAAGTTTTTTAAAAAAAATACCTTGATTTTCAAAATTGTTTTCTAATTCATTAGAAAAGATCGAGTCATCTTTGTACGAAGTCGAAATGAATGCAGTAGTCCACGTTCATTATTACGTTCAAAACCTGATGCTCTAACAGAGTTAATTAAATTGTCAGTGCATATTTAATGCTTTTTTCTCTTCACAGACAAGTTGTACAATTTTATTTATCTCGCCATTAATAGTGAGGGAAATCTGCTATCTTATGCAAAGGCGACAAGCTCATATATTGAGTGAGTGAGTGTTGCCAGAAGAGAAGAAGAGAAGAGAAGAACAATGGAAGACACGTCAGGACTATTATTTCTTCTGATTCACCCTCTTGGGGGTTGTCTTAAGAGCTCCAACAAAACCTCAGATTGTCAAGCCTCTTTCAACAATGTCAGCCACTTGAGATGCTGACCAGTGGTGAAGGCTGGGCTGTTTTTCTGCACTACATGAGTTATTGTGGATGATTTTCTTTGTTGCTTCATAAATGTACTGAATGGCCTGTGAGTCTGCCAACCTCTTTATTTGGCCCGTTGAGATTTACCCTTTTAACCTGAAATACTGTCTTGGACTTGGACCCTAATTCTCCAGCCTGGACAGTTGAGTGGCCACGAGACGGTTGCACATGGTTTGCATCAATGATGGGCTCATTGGATCATTGGATTTTGCTTTGATAATGAGTTTGCCGAGAGCGGCTCATCTTTGAAGCCTCAAATCCTGGTAGAGTGCTCAAGCTGGATCAAGCATAAGCCTGCCTTGGACAAAGAATCCCTTTGTTAACTGTGGTGGGAAAAATCACACTACATGGTGACTGGCTCAGGCACTCTGTATCTGATTTAAAGTTAATCAGCTCCAGAAGCAGAAATGCCTTCAAATTATTGTCAGCTTGTTCTCTTCTCTCTTCGTTCGCAATTAACTTCGACTCCTGGAAGTACTCAGTCTTCCGTTCAAGGACCATAAGGTACATCATCAGTTGTCATGCACATTCCAAGGGGTAGCTCACAACCGAAGTACTCAACCCCAGATTTGCTCTCTGGGAACATTAGGATCCACTAGGACGCTAATCTGCTTAGCCCTGTTTTCAGAGAATTGATCTTTCTCACAACCGGGTTCCTTGAGTTACCTCAGCAGAAGACTAGAATTAGAGACAGAGGAAACACCTTTTGTCCTAGTACGGGTTAAGTATGTGACCTTGAATCACATTAATGGGTTACCAGGGCCTGGGGACTAGGTGTCTATTCTTTAGAAGTTTGTAGCATGTATGTCTTCAAGGCTGTGAATTCTATACTAATTATCCCAACATTTTTAGGTCATTCTGTATATGTATTTTAAATTATGGACACGAACTAGCGGGAAAATGTGCAATTTGGAGGGCTGCCTAATTTGTGTTGGGTTAGGGAATATTTTTCAGCTTCTTGCTTTATACTCTAAAATGTGGTGTGTAAATTTATGAACTTGTTAATGTTATTTAATCAAGGAGATTTCCAATCAGTTAATTCCTCATTACTGACAAAAAAAGGGAAAATATGAAACACAGGAAGGGAAAATAAACTGACTTTTATAGTAAATACCTGTCCCTCTGGTTATTTAAATATATACTCTGACTTCCTTGTTCTAGAACGTGGTTCATGCCTTATAATTTCCTGGGGTTGACCATTTACTGACCCTATGGTGCACCTGATTGTACAGATAGCTTCTCCCTCATGGCCCCATCTCTATTATGTTCTGTGAACACCTTCCCTTCTCCTTTGTGTGAGATTGTGCTAAGTTTGGATGAGTGCCTGGTTGTAATTTAAGAATTGTCTATAGGTGAATGCCATTTTTTATTATTTAACCTCCTTCTGACATTTGGCTGAGAGTTTCCTCTCTGCCCACATCATCAATATGGTAGCATTTTTGTGTCCTGACACCAACATTGTTTTCTTATCCTGTTTATTTTTATTTTTTACCCTATTTACACTTAGCTGGGTGAGTGTTCCCCTGACCTCTCTCTAGCCCCCAAGCAGTATCTGAAGTGAAATTATAAATAGATAAGTGCTCAGCCCTGAGTGAAAGGATGTATTTCATGATGGATTTATTTCCTTATTGTTCTAGTTCTGGCAGGCTACATAGGAATCAGCTTTAAGGAACTCCTAACTTCACTTTCTTATTAATTTCTTGTCCCTTGACGAAAAGGCCATAGGGAAAGCTAATTTGGAGATGACAGCTTCTCTGACAGCTACATCTGGGATGCTCACAATGTTGAGGAAAACCACTGGCTTGCCCTTTCTGGTCACGCTGTGTTTTCTTCTCTCCTTCAGTCTAGTTTCAAAGGAAGAAAGTCCCCTCCCCACTCCTGCTTATGCTGTTCCTTCCTGCTTCCCAGAAGACCAGAGTCCCAGAGTCAACGTTCACACAAGAAATGCATCGTGAAGTTGATGGAGGATGCAGGACGCTCTCGTGCATTTCCTCCCTCCCCTCTTTAAAACCTCCAGAAGTCTTCCCTGCTTCTCCCATAAGTAACTGATAAAGCCTTTTCCTATCCCTCCGAGTTCTGCCGACTCCTGTTTTTCTTTGCACAACCAAACCCTTTTGAGTTCCTGGAGACCTCTGCTGCCTTTCCGGGTAGCCTGCTAACTTCCTCCTCAGAGAGGTAACGAACTGTGTATCTGCTTGCCCGGGACAGTCCCGGTTTATTCTTGTTGTTCTGACGTAATTATCGGCAGCACCTCCCTTCTCTACACACGCCCCGGTTTGCACACCTCATCCTTACCCTCTGACCTCTTTCCTCACCCTACAGAAACCGCACATCTGAAGACCGTTGAATTGGGAGATCTTTTTCTCTCATTTCTTATCTTATTTCCTCTCTTGTGCTGGACACTGGTAACCACACCGTCTTCCCCAGGACTTTCCCCCCGGCTCCTATAGCATTTTAATTTATTGACTCTCCTGACTTCCTTTCCCCTTTACTGGGTTCTCTTCTCTGTTCACCCGCTGGTAGTTTCTTTTCTACAATAAACTTTCCCGGATGAGCTGTTCTTCTCATCTACCAGTAGCTCTTGTGAATACTGGGTGAATAAGAAACCACTAAAGAGGTGTATGGCATCAGTGTGTTAAATACTATCTGGTGTATAGTGAAGAGCAAGTCTCAAGGGAAATGGACTCAAGTCCTATAACCTCAACCCCCTTGTCTCGTCCCCACACAGACCACTGCCAATTGCCTACATGAATGGTTTTCAAGGTTTTTAAGTCATAAACCCTTTTGAGAATCTGAAAGTTATTTACCCTCTCCCTAAATCAAAACACATGAATGAATATTCAAAATTTGTTACAGGTAGTGTTCATGGGCCAAAACTTGAAGCCCTTCCCTGGACCACAAAGTTAGAAACCCTGGTGCAGAGAACCAAGTGCCACCTGGCATGAGGTTTTCCACAGTCTGGTTTCAAGCTGATTGGTTTCTTTACTGATTGCCCCTCTACACGAACCTTCTACAAAATCAGGCGGGTTGGCTTATCGTTTGCTACCAATGGCAGTTGTGTTTTCCTATCTTCTTGTCTTTTTTTAAGGAGGCACCTGTATTTAAATGTTTTTAAAGTTTTTAAAAAACTGTGATTAAAATACAGATAGCATTTACCATCTTAACCATTTTAAGCATATAGTTCGGTAGTGTTCCGCGTATTCCTGTTGGTGTGCATACCTTCTTGTCTGTAATATCCCTTTTTTAACTCTCAGCCTTGTGAATCTCATCTTTCCTCCCAGGCTTGGCCAGCACCGGCGAGTCCAAGAAACCTTTTCCAACGAGCCTGACTAGCATCCACTGTCTCGCCTTCCTTGGCTAGGAATAGCAGTATTACTTACTTGGTGCTTAGCTGTTTCTGTCTTAGCTATTTTTTACATCTAACTCCCCAAGGAGATTGTTGCTCTTTTTCTCCAATTTCCTGCATGGTTGGTGCTGAGTAAATGTTGATCATGTTGGAAAAGGTAGAAGGAAAAAGAGAGTGGAGGGTAGGCAAAGCGGGCTGTGGGTCCCTGACCCTGCCAAAGGCCCTTCCCCTTGCTTTATGTACAGTAGCACCTCCTGCACTAGTGGCCAGGTTAGGAGGCTGGCTGGCCTAGGGTGCATTGTCCTCTCCTCAGGCTCCTTGGGAGACCTGTCAGCTCTCCCAGAGGCTAAGCAATGGTGAACAGTGAGCTTTTTGCTCTAGCGCAGATCCCATGCTGTTCAAGCCGATGTTTGTATTTCCTGCTGCGTGATTTTACCTGGACTGTCCTGCTTCCGCTGCCGTTCCGATGCTTTTTATCCGTCTCAGCCCCTGGTGTCCTGCCTCCGGAGCTTTTCCTGATGACACCGCTCCTGATGCTCTTTCTCTTCTTTAAACTTCCAGAGCTGTTATTTGTAGACCACACAGCCTGCCCCAGGCTGATTGATTTTACTGCTCTATTTTGTTCTCTGGTTGTTTCTGGTTGTCATTTCCTCAATTAAATCGTGAGCATCAAAGAGTCAGCTCCATGTCCAAGGATGCACCCGCCATTTAATCCAGACAGCCAGTTTACCTTCCTATGTGGCCTCTTGCACTTTTAGACTGAGGGTCGTCTTCCTTTGCTTTTCCTTCGATGCCCTGATCACCTCTGGTGACCAAGTTTGTTTCAGCATCTATCGGAATAAATCAGATTAAATAGGAGATAATGATATATGTGAACATAGATAATATAGATCACTGAAATGGTTATATGCGTGTGTTATGGGTTATTATAGGCAACAGTACATGTTATATATAAATATGTATGTTGCGTACACACGCATACATACGTACATATATACAAATATGTCAGGTCTAATACTTGAAAAGAAATTCTGTGCCTGAGTACCCAGTGGTGTGGTCTTCCTGTCATCCTCACATAATAGTTCACATGCATGTACGTCTTTAAAAAGTGCCCACCCACTCACTACTCTCTCTTATGCCCACCACATCGTTGTAAGGCAGGCAGGATGTGTGGTTCTGTTCCTCAGATGGGAGGGCTGAGCTCAGAGACATTCAGTGGTTTGCTCAGGGTCACAAAGCTAGTACATGACAGAAGCAGAACGGAATAAAAACGCAGGCCTTTTGACCTAACTCTAGCATCTTTGCCATCATACCATATGGCCTCCTCTCGTTTACTCCCATCCTAGCCTTACTTGCAAGGTATATACATCGTGCAACTGCTCTCATCTTTTCCGAGGCCCAGAGTCCCAGGGCCTGAGCAGACCTTGCGTTAAACTGCCTCCAGCCCTGCACCTGCTGCTCGGCGGGGATTCACCCCCCCACCCCCAGGCCCTTCAGAGCTGCTGCTCTTATTCCAGCCCATGGCTTCCCTCTGCGGTTGCCTCCCGCCCCAAGTTTGCCTTTGTAAATAAAGAACGCCTCTTCCCTCTTTTTCTCGGTCCTTCTCCCTGAGGCTCAGGGGGATTCTGCCACCTGACAGACTCTTGTATTGTCATTTCTTCCCTCCTTCTGGGCCCCGGCATAGTCGGTGCAGGTGTGATGATGTCATGTGCTCACCTGTGCCAGGTCTGCCTCTTTCCTCTTGACCAAGAACCCTGCTTGGTTCCTTTCTTTCTGATGAGTGCTTCATTACCTTTGAATGAGGGGCTTGCTTCTGAGATGCTGGGAGTCCGCTTTTTCGGGCCTGCTATTGCCCTCCTATTGAAGGAATAACTATTTTTTCCTTTTGCCCTTCCCGAATTTCAAAAAGTAACAAAATCGTTTGAAACTGTTTTGAATCCCCTTTATCACGGTGGAGTGTTGATAAAAGTGCCGCCCTGTCTGACCAGAATGTTGTGGATTTTAATGGGATGATTGTATTTAGGTGAAACCTTCAAAGGCCTTCACCTTATTTAATAGTTACTATCACACCCTATAGACGGACATCAGGATACCATAGTCCTAGATTGTATGTGTGTGTGTGTGTGCGCGCGCGCGCGCACGCGTGCAATTGCTTATTTATTTAGCAATTTGTTTTCCTAGCCTCAGCAAAGACAAGTTTCAGAAACCTGACAGTATGCAGTTGGTTTCCATTAAACTAACCACCTAGTGAGTAGCATACATGAGTTGCCTTTGTTTTGTGGGATGAAGATGTTAGTAGGCTTATAAAAGAACTAGAGGCAGGCGGGTGCGGCTGGGAGGTGAAGCAGCAATGACTAGGGTCGAGTCCACCAAGACCCTGCCCCAAATGCCCCCAGAGCCGTGAAACAGCTTTCACCATCGTTGGTACTACTAATTGGGTTCATGTAAAAGATGATCCTATGAATGAGCTCTTGGGAGGAATGAATGTAAGTGCTGCATCGTCACCCAGATTGGTCATTTTAGCAGAACTTTTGAGAAACAAGCCTGTGTCACGACCAGAGGAAAAGTTCCTAATTAAGTTAAAATAAGACCAAAGCCCCCCCACCCCCTACCGCCCACCCCTGGTCTCTGCAATCACTTAGGCTATTGAAGCAGCCTCTGGATAAAGGGATGGGTTAGTTAAGACAAGAATCTTTTCGAGAAAAGACTGTCGGGGGTGGCATATAGAAATGCCCCAGAGCTGTCCCACTTCCCGCATCCGGCTT